ATTCTGGCATCCAAATTATCTGCTCTTGAGAAGCTTCATGGAACTGTCGTCGCGGATTTTTTCAAATCTGTAACACAGTTCAAAAACTTTTACAATGCGCTTTGGAAATCACCAAATTAATATATGTCTAGCTACTGCCGCTTTTCAACTGTTTTGAAAAAGTTGAACATGATCATAAACTAGCCCACTGAACGAAGTGACCAGAGTAACAGTGATGGGCTTGCTAAAATGTCGTGATTGAACACAGCTTTGTCATCTGTCGCATGAGTGACTAAAAGGCTGAATCAATCAACTTGCCTTGGCATTATGTGTAGAGTTTTAGATGCAAGATATAAGACAGGCAAGCGATCGTATTGATGACCGCTAAATGTCATGGGTGCCATTATTCATCACACTTGCGCGAACTGTGAATGGAAAATCAAGTTTGAGTCGTTACAGATTGAAGTAAGAATTTTGAAGATTAGCGAATATCAATGCCTAATGGCACTGCTTGTCGTCTAGGCAGAATAGCTCTTTTTCTTTATGATTCTTGGTATCTGCCATTGAAAATGTGATAAGACAGAGACAGACAGACATGGATGCATATGGAGAAGTTGAATGCTATCTAGATTGAGGTGCTCGAAAATTAATTGCGTTGGAGCACCTCTGGTGATGAAGTGGGCCATCAGTGGGATTATGAAAAATTTTCTACTCAAGTCGTAAATTTTGAAAAACGAGTTCATAAATGGCGTGACCTCCTGATATGGCTAAACAAAGACTTCCTTGCTTGCATGAATTCCAAATAATATATTAGGTTGTCCCAAATAAACTCCATTCTCAAATAAATTGAGCTGTTCTTGTTTCCCTGATAGAATTAGGGTACCATTCGATAGAACGGAGCAAGCTCTACAAAAAGACCTTCAAGGATTCATTTAAGTCGTGATCCGGGCAAAATGTGGAGCCAAATATCAAAATTTTTCAGCTGCCCTAAAAATCGGATCTCCTTCCAGAAGCTTCCTACGGACTCCAAATTGGTATTTATATAATAAACACGTAGTGGTACAAAAAAAGTATTTGTTTGATTATTTCAAGGCTCAAAATTGAGAAAATGTGGTCCGAAGATGCCAAAATGCCACTTTTTTCGGGTTTTTCAAGTAAGACTTGGAATTTCTCGACATAGGAGCACATACAAAGGTAACGTTCTAAGATTATACTTAGAAAGGCCTGTAGTATACAATGACATATGGGGAGGGGAGCTGGAGTGGAGTTTGCCATTTTTTGACTATCTTTTTTTCTTGCTTTCTATGCGCGGGAACAGTAAAGGCACATATTTGAGCGCTACTATGTGCCTACTGTATAGCGGCCAAGTTACTTGGTCATGGTTAATTATCTCGCAAGAGCCCATTTTTCAGCTGACAAAATTTTTTTCGATTTTGGCTCCAAACTCACGAATGCGACTCAGGCGGACTCTTGGTAATCACTTTGTAGAGCTTGATCTGTTCTATCGAATGATATCCTAAGTTTACTCGTAAAGCAAATACTCGAATTTTCCGGAAGAAGTTCACTTGAACAACCTTCTAGATAAATCTTTGCACATCATCCAAGGGCTTATAAACAGGGATGCTCAATCTAGACACGGAAAAATGAATACTGTTCACATATCTAACATTCGATGCAAGTTGTTCTTGTAAAGTACTGTCCTTCACATTCTTGCCATTACAGATAAAAATGCTACATGTTGTATCTCAAATCTTTTTTAAATACACTCAAGCTCTTTGATAAGGCGATAGGAGTAATCAGAATTCAATCTCAGACAAATCACCGGAACTTCCGCAGGACAAGCCATACATGCGGTGGCTTTGCAGGACTTTGTTTACTACTATGTACAACCTGGAACCTGGAAACCTTGAGAATGGGAGCCGCAGGATTTTCACGTTAGATCGGTTGAAAAAGAGAACTTCCGCAAGACTTTTCACAAAGCGCTGCGGAAATTCCGAACAGTGCCAGCGGTCCCTCAGCACTTTGGCCTGCCAGTACTTCCGCGTTGTTTTAAATGAGTGTCTCGCCAACAACCAGAGTGCATATCTGAACATGCATCCATAGTGAAGAGAATAGTGAGTCCCGCATTCAGTAGAGTAAAATTCAAATCTTGAGGTATTTTCTTTTGTTGTTGTGGTTCGCATTCTTCGGAAGTTCAGCATCACGTTTACTACACTTCCGCAGGTGATCCGGCGGAATTCCCCAAAACGTTTTGCGGAAGTTCCAGTCAGTTGTCTAAAATAACACCCACGTTCTGTGGAGCAGTTATGTATACTATACAACTTTACTAAAGTCAGTATGTGGGCAAAAAAATTTTGAAAACAGAAAGTTGTATAATGGAAGTTTGGTTGTTTGCCATTTTTGGACTATTTTTTCTCGTTTCTATGCGCGGAAAACAGCAAAGGCATATATTTGAGATTACTATGTGCCTATTGTGTAATGACTATGGACTTCCGTAGGATTTTATCTTACAAGAGTCCATTTTTCAGGTGACAAAATTTCTTTTCGATTTTGACTTCGAACTTTGCATGGAATGCGACTTAGGCACCGTTGGTAATCATTTTGTAGAGCTTGATTGTCTTATCGAATGATATCCTAAATTTACTAGTAAAGCAAAAACAGCTTAAATTATTCGAAAAGGAGTTTACTTTTGGAACAACCTTACAGATAAATCTTTGCAGTGGTGCTCACAATCTAGACGTGGGGAAATAAACACTATTCACAGTATCATTCGATGCAGCTTGTTCTTGTAGAGTACTGCCCTTTACATTCTTGCCATTATAGTTAAAACTGCTATCATGGTGATCTCAGATCTTTCTGAATAAGTCAAGTTTTTTGATAAGATATGATAAATCAGAATTTAATGACCATTCTATAAAGCAGTTATGTGCTTTACAACTTTTCTATAGTCAGTGTGCGGCAAAGAAATTTTGAAAGACAGTAAGCCATGAACAGCCATGTACATAGTAAAACAAGAAGAAGTTGATGCCTCACTACAAACTGTATCTCACTTTTCGATAAGATACTGCTCGAATATCTGAAAGACGAAAATCACATGAAGTTGGTGATGCTACGAATTTTAGTGATCATTCGAATGCTCTAATATGTAGAAGGAGAAAGAAGAGTTAAATATCGCTTAACATCATGTCCATTGTCGTTTTACAATGGCACGACCAGTGATAATCCACCCAAAAATTCGCCTCCCATGTCTTCGCCATTTAGAGCCTTTTTGTGCCCCTGATTACGGTTATGATGTTCACATTGCCCAAAACCCCAAAAAATCCGATTCGTGAGTACCCTGTCTTGAGGGTGTGGACGGCTTTCAGCCCATGGGTGGACGGAGCTTGATAGGATCTGGGCGGGGCTTGGTAGCACTTTGACTCTTCCAGGCAGATTATCTCCATTCAAAGACAACATTAGAGGACCGGACCAACGCATGCCCCTCTCCTGGGCCTACATTCAGAATCGGCAATAATCAGAGGAGGTTAGATCTAGCCTGGACACTGCCTTTAAGAGGCACAGTTTCTATTGCCAGGTAGACATTAGTAGCACCCACATAATTAGTGTTTTATAAGCCTCTAAGAATCTCACAATTCCAAAAAGACTTATTAGAAAGGAGCATTGTTGTTCGGTGTCGTAACCTCGAAACGAAATTGTAACAAAAATGTCGAAAGTCAACAAACATTGAAATTGCCAAGTACAGTAAATTTGTGGGTTTTTCAATCTCTCAGCAAAAGATCAAACTCAGCAAGGTCTAGCTTCAAACTAGTAACCCAAAGCATATTGTCAGATATATTTTGAAGACATATATAGCGCTGAATTGGTTTGGGTTACTTTGGTTTTTTTTAATAAATTTTTTTGAATCTACCGCACTGCTACCGTAGCGCCATTGTGGGACAGTAGTAAGTAAAGCAGACACTATGATCGCGATCAGCACGCAATAACCCCAAAGTACAATCTTTCATGAAAATCCATGACGTTGGGTTTGTACAGGATGACCACCGTAATCTTTAACTACGGTTCTAAAAACCAAAATGAATCATACTTTGGTAATCAACGCTTCGATAACCCCTCGCGGGGAAATTCTCGGAGGCATGTTTGAATTTTATCCAAATAGACTACCATCGCGGGCAATACGACCCATGGATGGGTCGTGAGTTTGGGAAAGCGAAAAAGGCTCCGGCCCGAAACGGCAGTAATTCAAACGCCTTTCTGAATGTGTTAAAAATCATCCATACTCTCATCAGCTTACAGTCCTGTGATCGCCACGAATACCATCAGTGGAACGGCGAATATTTATTCATGGTGGACAAAAAAACACTATAATATTGCTGAAGGTCTTGCGCCACCTTCTGTCATAATTTTTTTCAAATTTGGTGTATACTTGGATATAATATACGCTAGAAATATGAAATATTGTGCTTTCTAGTAATGCTCAAAAATTGATGTTGTCCTTACACCGCAACAGAAGCTGATAAAAGCAAATGTTCGAATTGTATATTTTTGAATTTTGTTAAAAATACCAGTGGTTGAAAAGCTGCTGATTTCATTCCAGGTTTCGGTTTCATGACTTATTGAACAAAAGAATCAACAATATTGAAAGCCTTCATGAAGGTTTTTTTTGAGTTTTCTTTCAAAAATTCTTTTGAATAGAATTTCTAATACCAAGGAAGTGCAACATATCACATAGAAGAAAGAAATGCTATACAGCTTGAAGCAGATACCCAATCTTTTGTCGTTTTTCAGAATTTTTGGTGAAGACTTATGTTCCAGCACAATATCAGAAATTCAATTTTTGATTACAGCATTTTACAAATTTGATTACAATCAATCTCCGCTACTTTATTTTTCAGTCAGATATAACTTTGTCTCAATTATAGAATGTTCACCCTGCGCTCGAGCATTCGACATGTTGCCAACGTCGCCTTGGCAACGAGACGATCAAAGCAGTGGTTTGCAATTCTTGACGACAAACAACCTGGATGGCTGCTCAGACTTTGGACGATCTCTACGAAGGTTTCGATGATTATGTGCCCGCCTATGACACATCGGTCGGTATTCTCAACATGGAGTATACGAGTCTCAATTGAAATTGTATTATTGCAGCATCTTGAGCAGGATCGCTCCTTCCAGCAGGCAGTGGCCCGATCCAGCCATGGAAGAAGACCGGTGAGTCTTTATATCATACATTATAGATAGTTCAACAGAACCTTGAAAAAGGAGAAACTACAATATTTGAGCAAAAAGAGAGAAAGAACTAAGACATTGAACTAAAGAAAAAATTGCAATTTTTGCTACATTCTTGGGCTTGTTCGTTCTCGAAATAATGTCCAATATACAATCCTCACAAAGATGTCCCCATTGTTTGATCGTTGATATTCTCAATCTGGTTTCTTTCCAAGAATTTAGGTGGCATTCTGTAGAACTGATCCAATTCAATTTACAGTTGGAGCTAAATAACGACGACTTTTTGTTACTGCGGAATTACGGTAAAAATTCAAAGCACAGTCTCGCATTTACAAACTCGCTGCAGTAGAAAATTTCAAACCTAAAAGTTGTGGTGGAATTTTGAATTTTTCAATTTTACTTTTAGCAAATATCTTTGCAGAAATTTTTGAAGCTGGTGTGATCAGATTTTTGGCGAATCTCGGAAACGTTGTTATTTTCTTATATCTCTATTCTATCCAGTGAATGAGGGTTTTTAGACGCGGTTCTAAAGTATTGTGCCATACCAAATTCAGAAATCAGCAACTATATTCCATTGGGTAATAAAATTTCTAGATTTTTATGGATTCCTTTTGGAGCAAGATTTGATTCTCATTGGTACAAACAAAAAGCATTTCACATTTCCCACCGTAATCTTTTATTTCCTGAAATCAGCACCTCTAGAAAGATTAATCGCAAACATTTTAGGCCTAAGGCATACCTCGCGCGATTTCGTTAAATCGCTACATCCACGCGACTTGGCACTTTGCCAGATATTTGCAAATCAATCGTGTGCGGGTCCTAAGTGCATAGGCGCGTAGCTACCGTAAGTTATAGCAAAATCTTTAAGTCTGGCCCATGCAAAACGCGCTAACGACCAGTTACGAAGAGTCGCTGCAGTGCCAGATCGCGCAGCGACTCGAATTGCGTGAAGTATGCCTTAGGCCTTAGGTGTTCTGAGAACTATTTGAGATGCAGGTGATTTGCAAAGACACTACTGGCGAAATTTTGCAACGTAATCCGAGGGTATTGGTGATTTGCTTCATACTGTAGACCTACGCTTTGATTCAACTGGCTTGGCGGCTGGAAGGCGGGGCTGTGTGACCTAATTAAGGCTATGTAATTCAGAGAGCACGCGCAGGAGAGACGCAGATTGCGTAGTGGGAGCGAGCGGCATTAATTAGGTCACAAAGCCCCGAATTCCAGTCGCCAAGCCACTTTAATCAAAGGTTGAGCTGAAATAGCGCCACGAAGAAATACCCAAAGATTGGCGAAAAAATGTCAGGATGAGAAAGTATTAACTATAAAACAGCTTAGACATTTTTGGGGACACCCTAGGGATGTGAAATAACACCCACTTCAGTCGTTGACCTTCTTAGACCACATCAATGGCTGGACGTGCTCCGTCCGCATATGGTATGGCTCCACAGTCCAGCTATGGTGGAGTTTCTTCTTATGGAATTCGTAGTCGTACTGGAAGAACCTCTTTGGCTACCAGAAATGAGCCAGCACGACCTATGACCGCCGTCAGAGCTGCAGGATACACTTCATATGCCAACAAAGGTTGGTTTCTATATGCCGATAAACTGTCTATTGAGGAAACTCAAAACCGGCTTAATTAATCCTCAATTACTTAGTTAGTGTGTCATCGTCTAAGTTTTTATCTCTTTCTGGGCTACATAAATGTTAACTGTGTCAAGTCAAGCTCTTTATCTTTGTGTTACCGTTACTACTATACTGCATTGTTATTCTGAAACTCGTATTTTTACAAAGCAGTATTTTTACAAAGCATTTTAGTGCAAGCTGCTGAATCTGCCGCAGCTGCGGAACCGAAGAGCACAGAATCGTAAGTCATTTCTATAAAATTTACTATCACATCAGGTAATGACATCCCAAAAGGTATTTCTGAGCCATCGTTTTATGTGGTTCGGGATAAAGATTTAAAATGCAAAGAAATTTTGCAAGCTTTGGTGAAAGCTGCCATGAGAACAACAAGAATGGGCTACTTCTTTTTTGCATCCACTCGTTTCATTTTGAAACTAATTTGATTTAGCAAAACGCAAAATTGAGAACATGATATTGGCAAGCGCAAACCTCTATTTGGATTCTTTGGATGCCTTCAAAAATCTTTCACAGGTTTTGGTTTCATAGCCAATTGGTTTTAGCATGTGTATGTGAATCATTTCAAACATGAAAGCAGATGAGAATACAATCAACCTCCTGTTCCTCATTTTCTCGAGCTTGGGCAATTTTCTTGAGTCTTCAATCCTACCCTTAGATCTCAAGTCTCATTAGGAAAGTTGTGTAACACCTATTTACATCATACGAAAAGAAAGAATAAAATCAAAATCTTCTGTACACTAAAATCCTCAACTTGACGAATAATGAGAAGCAGCTCTAGGGAAAAGCTTAGTTGTTTGACTTAACACCATGATGTCAGAATCGAGGAGAAATGCCGAGAAATGGAGAAACGTGTCATGGATGTGCTCAAAGAAAGTCTTTTTGCAGCTGAGAGAAGGAGTTTCAAAGAGGTGACCCCTACCCACATAGAAAAAATGTTTTAAATAATAGTAGATGTTTTTATAGGCGCTAGATAAAGCAAAAGAAGCTGGCAGAAGAGAGCGAGCAGTGGTGAAGTACAGGGAGCAGCAAGGCGTTGTTGAATCCATGAACATCGATCTTACTTTTACAGTTCTCTTCAATCTTGCACAGCAGGTACAGCTAAGACACGGTTCTCAGTACCTTTTCCTTACGCAAATGTAATTATACAGTACATGGCAAATGACATGGCAAATGAGGCGCTAAATACCTACCAGATCATCGTGAAAAACAAAATGTTTCCAAATTCGGGAAGACTGAAAGCAAGTTTTTTGCCATTTTTGACCGTCAGTACCGAGAAAGTAGTGCCCATTTTCACACTTTCAGGTAAACATTGGAAACATTTACTTCAAGAAAAAAGACTATAACAAAGCAATCAAATACTATCGTATGGCACTGGATCAAGTACCCAGCATACAAAAAGAGACAAGGTACGGTAGTCGTCAGCTCGTTGAAGAGCATGAAAATAACTTAAATCGCTGTGAACCAAATGTCAATAGACTTGCTCATCTCTGCTTGAAATTTGTACTTTAGCCTACTCCATGAGGGAATCAGTGAGAACATTCTAATTTTGAAACCATTTGAGTTATCAATTCAGGATAAAAATCTTGAATAACATTGGAGTGGCATTTATCAAAATGGGGAACTACGACGATGCTATGTCTACATTCGAGCACTGTGTCGAAGAGAGAGCAGACTTCAAAACAGCGCTAAATATGGGTAAGCACAATTTCGATAAACAATATAACATGCTCATGTTACTGATACCAAGCTATGAGGCTCTGCGTGATCGTGAAAGTTGGTGAGTTTACGAGCATTGATGCGAAAAGTAGGAAGATGGTGACAGTTCGAGACACGGTCTTTAATCTTTGAATATGCAAGTCACTGCAGATGCAAAAAGTTGTGCATGCACAAGGCCCCTGCAAGAATGGGAACACTGCTGTTGTGAAACTATACAACAACCAGAAGCATCTATAATTTCGCGTTTTGGCCTTATTTATATCCTCATTTTCAATTCCCTAAACTTCTAGGCTTAGAGCACACAATGAGAAAAATAATTAAAACTGTCACTAATGTTTTCAGTTCTAACAGCTTATTGTCTCGAAGATGCAGACCGTATGCGCGATGGATTCCAGAAGCTGCTCGATGTTCCCCTTGATGATGATGAGGAGAACAAGCCAAATGTTAGCCCTTATGCTCTTTTCACGGTTACAAATACAAAGCGAGCGAACGTTTGTGGTCGATTTCGCCAAATAGAGGAAAGACACATGCGTTTTTGATTGCTAATTCTTAGCCACTAAATGTAAGACACAGTTTTTGCTTTTTCCACATCGCATCTAGCACCTTCAATCAAACATCAGATTCAGACGAACAAACTTCTTTCAAGCATCACCGTAGCAAATCTATCTGCATACGTGAAATTTATCATATAAAACGAATGCTTTCCATCTTCTCAAAAGTGCTGCACATCAAAAATCAAGTAGTTTTTGCTGATGACGAAAAGAATTCGTTATCGAGATGGAAGAACTTACGATTTTTTCCAGGACAAAGATGATGTGCTGATGACACAAGTACTGAACAACGACAGTCTTCGTCAGTTTGCGCGACGTCAGCGAGCCGATGCTGAGAGAGCAATCCTGACTGCTGCAAAGACAATAAGTCCAGCTATAGCTTCTGAGTATGCATTTTTTCCAAATTCGCAACGGTAGGACCTTACAAAATTCTAAGTCAAATCGGATTATTTTCAGCTTTGCAGCCGGCTACGAATGGTGCGTCGAAACCATCAAACAATCCGTCCATGCTTCTCTGGCCACAGAGCTGGAGATGAGCAAAGCTGGCGAATTGCTTAGAAGGGGGGATCTGGAAGGAGCTGCTGAAGTGCTGAAAGTGTTTCACGCTCAAGAATCAAAGATTGCTGGAGCGGCTGCTAATAACCTGTGCATGCTGAAATTATTGGTATGTCGAATAAGAGGATGGGACGTAGTTGTTTTGCAAATCTTCTTTGTATTAAAATGAAACTTCAGCAAGGTGGAGAAAAATTGCAAGAGGCTGAACAGTACTCGGAGCAATCGCTGGCACTAGATCACTACAATGCAAATGCCCTCGTCAATGCCGGTAATCCCTAACTTTTTTTTCTTGAATTGGAAATAGGGGAAAGTCTCCAATGCAAATAACCACATACGGAATGATACGCCTCTTATTATTTGATAGTGCTTTAAACTATCAGAACACTCCAAGCAGTAGTCGCTTGCCTTAAAGGCAACGGCTTGGCAGAATGACAACCTTAGGATATCCATCGTTCTTGGTTCCCTTGGATGGCTAAGTCCAAGACTGTGCTTTGCAGCTTCAAAAGATATCAATAACCCGCTTTTCCAGGCTTGAAAAGTGCTATTTGGGCGGACCGCGTAAGCCTGCGCTCTAGAGCGCACTGGCTCATAAGTACGGTGAGCACGGTATCTCCACTCACGAACCAATCGCGCTCTAGAGCGCAGGCTTACGCGGTCCGCCCAAATAGCGCTTTACACGTGTGGAAAATTGGGTTATTGACATCTTTTGAGGCTGCAAAACACAGTCTTGGACTTAGCTCATCCAGAGGAACCGAGAACGATGGATATCCCCAAATTGTCAATCTGCCGAGCCGCTGCTTTTGAGCAGCCAAAATACCATGACAATGTTTACATAAATGTGCAAATTGTTCATGGAGAGAGTATGGGGACAGGTGAGGGCCTAGCCGCATTGCGAAACGTTGTGGACATGATTAATAAGAATTGTAGTGTTACTGAAGATTGGGACATCGTATCCTCACTGTGACTTTCATAAAATCGTCAGATCTTCCCAGTTCTGCAGATAACATCGTTCTACAATAATAAATAAATATATTCCCCTTTTTCATATTTTCCATTTCTCAATTTCAAGTGCACGCAAACAAGAAATTTCTTCAGGAAATATTGCCTACTTACGAGGAGACTACGACAAAGCCTACGCAAATTTTCGAGAAGCCCTAAGCAACGATGCAGGTTGCGTACAGGTAGGGACTGGAACGTTACAAAATAATATCTCTCATACTAAGTTTAGGCTCTGTATAACCTGGGCTTGGTCTGTCGTCAGCAAGGAAATGTTGAACAAGCATTGGAGTGTTTCTACAAACTACACAATATCTTGCTGAATAACGTGCAGGTTCTTTGTCAGCTTGCAGCAATGTAAGTTTTTTCTTCAGTTCTCCTATATGCATCCGTTCTGCTGTTGTAAAACCATAGTTCAAAAAATACAGTCCAAATTTTTGATAGAATATCCTCGGTCCAAAAAGGATATCTGGTTTTTACTTGGGCTGTCTTGCTCTCGTTGTCTATCACTTCCGACGCCAAGAAAAAGTTAAAAAAAAGTTTTTTTTTTCGAAATTTTTGCTCACAACTGTGCAACTTTTTCCTAATCACAAAATAAGGGTCATCTCCCACTTCTACAGTAATGCCAATCAAACAAATTAAAAATCTTGGTATCTATGTACTATCTATGTACTGAATTTATCAAAAACTCTTATGTTTCCCAATCAAAACCTCGAATTTGTTGGTTATCCATTGTTAAAGGAAACTCAATTTGAAGAATTTTCAAAACTTGTTTAGCTACGAATCCCTGGAAGACACAGCTCAGGCCATAGAGCTGTACAGTCAAGCAAATAGTCTTGCTCCTTCGGATCCAGCAATTCTTGCGCGTCTTGCAGCCATCTACGACGCAGAAGGAGACAAAACCCAAGCATTTCAGAGTAACTACGATGTGAGTTTTGCCCAACTACAATGCCGTCTGGCGATTAATTGTTGTTAATTTCAGAGCTATCGCTTCTATCCTTCAAATCTGAAAGTGATCGAATGGATGGGAGCTTACTACATCGATGCTCAGTTTTCTGAAAAAGCTGTGAACTACTTTGAGAAAGCATCAATCATGCAGTGAGTTCAATGTTCATTGATCAAGTAATTCAGATTCGTTAAAAAGATGAATAGTTCCATGTATAGAATGACATTTTGGAAGTACTCTACTCTAATTCCGTTTTGGGAATAAGCCTGTTCTCGACAAATATTGTACATCGTGCACATAACGAAAAAGTTTTACCTTTTCAGGCCAAACGAAATCAAATGGCAACTGATGATGGCATCATCACACAGGAGGGCTGGCAACTATCAGAAGGCTCTTGAGCTTTACAAGAACATTCATAAGAAGTTCCCAGCCAACATCGAGTGTAAGTTAAATGGAAGCATAGGCTATAACGCGACGAAGGCGCAATACCTTTGGGCGCGAACGCGACTTTATTAGCCGCGGAGCGCATGAAGCGCAGGATTCACAACGTGAAGATACACGCGCCGCGTTCGCGCCCGTTGAGCTAATACCGCTTCTGCGCCTTCGTCATGCACTAGCCTTCAGTCATATAGGCTCAAAAATCCGGAACAATCTGTAATCAAAGTATGTACAAATTCATCCCCATATATGCCTTGTGTGTGCGATATAATAGGCAGTTTGGATTTTGTCAGCGCGTCTGGGTCTGGAAATTTTACGGTTGTAAAATGGGATCATTTACACATATACATTCTGCACCCTTTCTTGTGTCCTTATAAGCTTACAGTCTTAGTGTCTTCACTTTTCAGTTAAACTTTTATCAAAGCGGTAATTTTCATTCAAAATTCCATTTGCGACTGTGCATATCACTACAATTTGTTGGTGAAATATATGTTTGGCTACAAAAATTGGCTTTTAGATGTGACAATGATGAATGATCAAAAATTATGAAAAACCAAGACATTCTCTTTTTTAAGACCGAATTATTTTCCAAAGTACCTTTATGAGCAGAATGAAGAGTTTCCAAACGCTTCACATCAAAATTTATTTTTAGGTCTAAAATTCCTTGTGCGTATCACAACCGATCTTGGAATGCCAGAGTCGAAAGAATATATGGAGAAGTTGGGCAAAGCCGAGAGAGTTCGTCAGCTGAAAATGCAAAGAGAATCTGACAGTAGCCAAGGCAAGCGACACAGTGCTCAGTCAGCTCACAGCTTGCCACCAGGAGGTTCGGGTGAGTAGGGAGATGCAACTTCATGATAGAAAAATTTTGAAATTACTCGTCATCATTAACCATGATGTGATTCCTAAATAGTGACGCGCTTAATATTTGTAACCGAAAATGGGAATTCTCTTCTTGCACGTGGTGCAGGCCAAAAATGAAATTTATGTCTACTCATTTTTTTTCTGCAAACGGTAGAGGTTTCTACGTGAAATTCAGCAGCCGTATAAGCTTATATCGTAAAAAATCGGATCACGAAAAAGATTTGCTGAAAACTCGCAGTCCTTCAATGGCCGATGACCTCATCCCTTCCTCTCCTATTAGTGTGAAAAACATTTACAATCTGGCGGGACTTATTTCTTCATTTACAATAATCATAATGTCCGCCTTGACAAGAAAAAAAGATCAAACAAGAAGTGAATGCTTAGCAGTATCTAAAACTATTTTCAGGAGAACGACCAACATCTTTGAACAGTCTCAGAATGTCAAGCGCGAAGTTTACTTTCGAAGACCAACCGTTTTCCGTGGCCCCACGAGACATGAGTAAGTACATTTTCTTTATTCTATAATTTTTTCACCTTTTCAAGCATAATAATTCATATTTCCAGAGTCTGCTGACCTCTCCTATGCCGATCCAGTTGGTTCCGGTAGTGCTCGCCCGAAGACTGGGCAGAGAAAACTCAAACAAGAAGACTCATTCGAAGATCTTGATGACTCTCTTTTGCCACAATGAGCTTGAGTATTTGATTTTGATATTGAAGATTTCGAATACAGTAGTGTTGAGCTCACTCATAAAAGTGTCCTAAAAGTTCTTTTGCGGGCATAAAAAAGCACAAAGTATCACCCTAAATAAAATACAGAAACTATCGAATTTTCTCTCAGGCTTTTTGATACTTGGCGAGCGCAACTAACACGCAGAAGCTACCTACTTCTCTATTTGCTTTGAGTTTGCTTTGACGAAAGCAGCGTCGGAAAATCTGCTATAATAGGGAAAGCAGTGAAGTTCGAGTTTGTAGAAACACGGATGTTGAGAAGTTGCGTGAAAGCTCCCCTTGAGCTCCGCTGTCTATGATTTTTTTAGATTAGGTCAAGCGGAACATCCTGCTGCATTCGCAAACGAACAGACAAATATGCAGTGCTTTACTCAAAGCTACAGATGTTATTCACTGTATGAAAGTGAATGCTGCTTCCTATCGTTCAATTGGGAGCTATGCAAAGCCCATTATCACATCCTCTCTTGCACCATGTACAAGTGGGGCCTATGCGGTAGATATATCTTGAGTAGATATTTCCTCTGAAATTTGAAGAATCGTGTTTGACGCATTGTGCACTATTGCTGCTTACCTCACATAATAGCGGCAAACAACTAGATTGCCATAAGGACACTGACCTACACCACAGCCGACCTTATACGAAATAGCCCAAGCCATCTGCAACAGTATAAAAAGGCTTCTTTCAAGAGTAATATGTTTGGTACTCCCCGTTATCCGTACCCATTTTTCATTTTTCATTTTTGTTTCTTTAATGAACCTATTCAGTCAAAACTTGACAGAAAGAAGTGTCAGCCTCCTGCCATGTCAGAAAAAATTGATAGGTCATTCATACGTAACATGTTTTGACAAGAGTGATATTTTGGCAATCTTCCAAGATGAATTCATCCTATATTCATTAACAGCCCCATTATCAGACCAACAAATTTGAGTCATCAAAAATATTATAGTAATTCAAAAATATTATAGTAGTTTTTTGAAGAAAACACCACATCTAACTTTTGATTTAACTGGATTGGCGGCTGGAAGAGGGAGCTTTGCGGCTAATTGAGGCCGCTAGCCCCCGCTACGAGTCTGCGTCTCTCGCGCGCGTACTCTCTGTTCATTCTCTAGCTTTAACACATTGACGACCATGCCAATTTTTGGTTGTTTGCCTTCTGGCACCAAGGCCTTTTACGGACCAGCCCATATTTTTCAACTATAACTATGCATAGTACCATCTACAGTACACCTACAATAGATCTGAGATGCAGACGGAGAGAGTAGAGGTCGTCTTTATATTCAGTGCAAAAAGAAGCTCGTGGAGTGAGTTCATCCCAGGATAGTATAATTTTCACAAAAGTCAAGCCTTGACACACATGGTGTGTCAAACGGTCCCACGCGGTAGTCATTGCTTGACACACCATGTGTGTCAAGCGATCGTCAATGTGTTAACAAGGTCACGAAGCCCCGTCTTCCAGGCGTCAATCCAGCTGAATCAAAGGGTACTCGATACAGAAAGGAGATTTTATCATCAGAGTGACGGAACACAAGCGGCAGAGTGGTATTCACGCCATCTCTAATTCTTTTTCTTGCCGAGTTCGCATAGAGTCTTAGTTTCGTAAGTATCATTCAATCAAAAGAGCGTAACATCCCGCAGGAACAAAAGTTCCTAAGATTTCTAGGCGCTAAAATGCAACTTTTATCCTCTTCCAAATGCTTACGTTTCTGTTGCAGCATAGAAGCATTCAGAAAATCACCAGATACTAGTGGCGTACCCAGGATTTCGGCTCGGGGGGGGGGGGGAGACAAAATTTTTTTCGATGAAGGTGCGTGGCTTCAGCCACGCACTCCGAAATTTTTTTTGGTATGCCCCCTAATCCGCTGGGTCACGAAAACGGGACATTCTATTCATATCCGTACTGCGAACCGACTAGATGTTGCTTGCGTCGGGCCATCTTCAAAAGACTGCCCTCGAGCGCTCTGTGGGTGGTCCGTAAAGCTTTCGACGTGGCTACAGTGTCGGCCCAAGTCTCAGCTGCGTAACAGAGCGCCGGGAGAACGGTTGAGTCGAACAGGTGCGCACGAAGCTCCGGGTCCGTCAGTTGGTCGGTGGCTTCCTTCAGAGGCCCGAATGCGGCCCAGGCTGCTCTTCTTCTCCTGTTAAGTTCTTCCCTCAAGTCGTTCTCCATGTTCATCGAACGTCCGAGATGCACGTAAGAAGACGACTCCGTAATAGGGGTGCCTTCCAATTCCATTTCTGCATCTTCGCAAAAAGCGTTCCTCATGAAGATCATGAACTGATCTTCTTCCGATTCATTCGCAGTTCGATTTTCTTCCCTACTTCGTTCAGTTCCTTCAGCATCGTCTCTGCTTCGGTGATACTGCTCGAGAAGAGAACGATGTCGTCCGCAAAACGAAGGTTGGATAGGAATCTCCCATCAACTCGTATGCCTTTCTCGTCCCAGTCCAGTGACTTCATCACCCACTGCAAGGCCGCGGTGAACAGCTTCGGCGAGATTGTGTCGCCTTATTGGACCCCCTTCCCGATTGGTATGGTCAGGGGGCGATGGAATAGCTGCATCGTCGTTGTACAGTCCTTGTAGCTCGGCTAACGTCCTTACGTAAGCTGGGTCCACTCCTTGATCGACTAGCGCAGACAGGATGGCGTTGGTTTCGACGCTGTCAAAGGCTTTCTCTTAGTCGACAAAGGTTAAGACGAGAGGCAGTCGGTACTTCCGGCAGACTTCTATGACCCTCGAGACGGTCTGGATGTGATCCATGCAGCTGAATCCTTTGCGAAATCCAGCTTGTTCTTGGGGTTGGGCTTCATCCAATGTCCTTGATATGCGAGCGAGGATAATCTTCGTGAAAAGCTTGTGCAACACTCAGCAGCGTATTGGATGATTATTCCGAAGATCCTCCCGTTCACCCTTCTTGAAGAGAAGGACGGTTCGTGACGTTCTCCACTGGTCGGGAATCTTCTCCTTTTGAAGGTAAAATGTCAAATGCGACGCTAGAATCTCGTGTAGACGGTGTCCTCCGGCTCGCAGAAGTTCGATGGAAAGATGATCTGGTCCTGGAGCCGTGGACGTCTTCATGGTCTGTATTCGCGATACGCACTTCAGCAGGTAGAATTCGTGGTGGTACTTCTCCATTGGGAACAACGGGCATCTGCACGGGTGTTGATGAGCGGAAGAGGTGGGTGTAAAAGTTCTTCGCGATAGATTCCATCTTATATCGGGAAAAAGTCAGAGTCCCGTCTTCGTTCAGTAGTGCAGCCAGCGGTGCGTGATTCGGCACTTCTTGAGACTTCGTCTTCTTTCGGCTGCTTCCAGTGTCTTGGCTTGCCTGTACTTCCTGAGATCCTCTTGCAAAGCTGTTCTGCAACTGGCGTTGGCTATCAGTCGCCGGGGTGGGTTGCATTCGGATCCTGCCTCAAAAATCTTCTTCTTTCGAGCAATTCCTTGGTGTTCTTCGAAATGCGTTCCAAGTTCTTCTCAGAAGTCACTGAGGCGCATTCTCCGCAGGCTCGCAATCCTTTCAGAAGCCGGTCGTAGCCGTACGTTGGGTCCTCCTCGATGGGCCAGTCACAACTTGATATGAGCTCTTCCAACCTGTTACCGTCATAAACGACTTCCTTCCTTCTCGAGGCACTATGACAGACTTTCTTTTCCAGCCGGCTGAGTCGTATCTTCGCTCGAAGGAGGCGGTGATAGGAGCCACTACAGAAGGATGGAACTACAGAGACATCGAGTAAGCTCCACCTTCGGTTTGAGAATGTGGTCGATTTCAGCATGAGTCGTTCCGTTGGGCGATTCCCAAGTCCACCGGCGATGTTCTTTCTTCGTGAAGATGGAGTCTCCATGGAAGAGTCGTGCGGCGGAGAGAAGCCCAACGAGACGGTTGCCGTTTTCGTTTCGGAGCCCATATCCAAACTTCCGGATCCCATATTCCTTTTCTAGTGGCATCACGATTTTCGCATTGAAGTCGCCCACAACATACTTGTAGAAGGACTTTTCGTTGCGGACGACCTCCTCCACGTCTTCGTAGAAAGCATCTAGTCAAGAGTCGTCAACTGCTGATATTGGAGAATAGCAGTTGAGGATGCTGATGGTCTTCTGAAATGGAGGTCGTAATCGTAGGATGGCCAGTCGAGGTGACAGGATCTCATGCGAATCGACAAGATGGACGATAGATGGGTGGACGACGAAACCAACGCCTCCAATGTTTCGTGATGGAACCTTTTCACCACGAATGATGAGGGTCCCATCATCCATCTGTCGCACGTCCTTCCTGGACTTCGTTTCCTGCAGACCGATGATGTGGTACTTGATGTGCTCTGCAGCGTCGAGAAGAGCGTGGAAGTCGGCGTTTGTGGAGACTGTCCTGGCGTTGTAGGTGCAGAGCATGAGGCAGTCTCCATAGCGTGTCGTCCGGGCAGACGTGTCGTTTTTGTCCAATCCGAAAAGCGTCCTGAGTACCCTGACATCGTTCTTGCTACCACCCGGCGCCGTAGGCGGGATACGATGTGCAGAGTTTCTTTCTAATCTTATAACTGGAGGAGTAATATGAATTTTCCCCTACAAGAGGTGGTTTACTAGGCCTACTCTTGATTTCGACGGTTGTTAATATGCCCAATTTTGGCAATTTTCTCTTCAGTTTGAACTTTCGGAAAGCTTTAATAAAAGTTAAATGGAGTAAAAAAGCGCAATGCAATGCAATTTTTGGCATCTTGAACTGGCTTCAGTAATTCTGAGATGACTTTTCCAAAAGTTTTCAATTTTGCGGAGTCGCAAAATACACAAACGCTTCAAACACTAACAGATTCTCGGAACTTGGACAGATTATGATTGCACACTATCTTCACAAAGCAGTAGAGCGCTACGAAATATCAAATTTCGCATTCTACGGGTACAGCCTGAGAAGGAAGGTTCGAAAAAGATAGAGTTGTTTTTGTCGCCAAAAATAAGAAAAAAACGCCCACCAGAAAGAAGAGAAAAAGCTGCATCGAATAGAACCACAGTTGAAGCCGTTTGATGTTCTATGAGTTTTGGATAATCAAAAGGAAAACTTGATAGCATCAGAAATATAGGCCCGTAGTAAAGCTCGGTCACGGGAGATGATCTCCCCTGAGACTCTCATATGAGGGTTTGTCGGGTGAGATGAGAACTGCCCACCTTTCCGTGGTATAAGTATGCAAGGTCACTCTACAGGTGAGCTTCAGATGAAGCCCGGCAGGGAGATCACCTCCCGACCGAGTCATCGGAGATGAGCCGGGCGACGAGATAAGGTGAATACTGTGGTAAAGAGGAGAGCACAGAGAAAACCTCCGTAAGCTCCCGAGTGACTCATGAAATATCGCAGCTGACGTTCTTTTGCGGTGCAGAACTCTCAAAACTGCACAATTTCCGGCGCCTAAGTGAGTGAGGATCGATGAACAGCTGATTGCGCGACGAAATAGGTAAAAACGGTTTTTTGCTTTTTTTCTTGCAGTTGTTGCTTGTTTGTCTTGAAAAAACCGCTTTAGATAACAAGAGGGTTAATTTGCTCTAATCATTCTTCGCCAAGTGTAATTTTTCCTGGTATGAACTCCAAAATACTGCGTATTTGTTTTATCTCGTTGTTTGCTAGGTGAAATCTCTGATAGCGGCTATCTCGATTTTTTCGACAGCGGCCTCTATCAAATATCGCCCGGCTAAGTAGCAAAAATCGTACTGGTAGCAGCATTCGAACCACGGCTCTGCCGCTGGAAACGCAATAGTCTTATCCACTTGACCAGTAAAGCACAAATGGCATAAACGTTCCATGTTTGAACGCGAACGTGCAATGAGTGATCTGCTCTAAATCAATCGCTCCCCTGGCAATGTGCTGAGGCGCGATGAGATCAACTCCGTCCGCCTCAAGAGAGATGCCCTGAAGGGGGTTTACTACGGGCCATAGTTTCAAAACCAGCACAAGTGCCAAAAACCTGAAGTGTATTGTATTAGGTTGTGTAATAAGTTCGTTCGCATTTTTAGTTTTAATTTTTTCTCAGTAGCTTACATAGCATTTGACAAAGTGTTTGTATGCATTCGGAAGCTCTAAGTCTGCTGTACCAAACTACATCATTACGTTTCCAGCTTTTGAGAAACTGAATTTTGATTGAAAACCGCAAAATGTGGGGGAGCGAAAATTGCATTGATAATTTATTTACGCTATCTGACTGTTATCAAAGCTTGATTAAAAGTCAACCAGGAAAATTTCACAGAATACCAAAGTTGAACATGGCAAAAACTATGAGTTTGAGATTTCACTTGTTTTAGTAACCACTAGGTAACCAGCATAGAAAAATGATGTTCAAAAGAGGAAGAAAAGCTGCGTCGATAGTTTTGAAACGTTGTAAGCCTTCATTCCGCGTGTTTTTAGGATAGAATGAAGAAACGGAAGGAACTTTCGGAACAGCCTCACATATTATATTGTTTGACATGAAAGTTATCGCACAATTTTTAGAAATTCATAAGCTTTGATTTTTTCAACCTCAGCTTGCTTTTTTGAAGAGTAAATTATGTTTGTAACAGGACTTTAGCGGCTTTCAGTTGTACATATATATGCATAGATAGGATTGAAGAAAATTACTCAGTCCTTAGCAATTTTCCTGTTTTTGGTCATAAAAATCTGAAACTGCAATAAAATTTGGAGGAGTAGGTATAAGTTTTATTACCAGCCCTTTCTAACTAAGCAAAGCTTGTGCTAGTTGAGCGTCTTTATGAGAAGCTGTGTTTTGGAAACAAATGCAAAAATATGAAAATCATAACTTTTTACAGAGACGTTCAATCAGCATGATTTGCCAATGGTTAGAAAGGGCTGTCAACAAAAATTGTAATTCCAACTCTTCCGATTTTTAAGCAAACTTCAGAGATTTTACGACCAAGCCCAGAAACATCAAAGTTCGAGTAATTTTCTTCTACCGCTTTCAACTATGCAATCTGTGCTCAGCAGAATGTTGCTCAAATACTACTGAATGGCATGATTTGAACAATAGAAGCAAGCAAATAGTTGGAAAAATAGGAAATTTTGAAGTTTTGAATAGTGCGGAACTTTCACGCTAGCTGATATATTCCTTCTCACAGCATCACTGAACTCGATGTAATTTCCTGGTTGCTGCCTGATTTACCAGGAGAAGTTTACATTGCGGAAATAAATATGATTTACCTGAGTAAAATTTGTGGGAGCGTCTCGAGAATGTTCTAAAACTTGAGTGTACTTGAATGCATCATTTATAGCAAGTTTTGTAATTTCATTCCACCAGTCGTGCAAAGCCTGAAATGATTAGGTTATTGTGAGCTATCATCATACAAAATTGCCCCGACATTAGCTAGCACGTTTTCACAGGATATAGTCGTATCCTTGATCACTGCAATGCTTTCACCGCGAAATGCACGCGTGTTTAGAGCTGATCCTGGTTTTGCTGGGCAGGTGCTAGCATACTTTTGTGCTTCATTTTCCAGTTCCTGATCATATCTCTGTAAATCCCTTTTTCAAACTACAAACGTTGTGATGAGAGAAGTTTGAAAAATGTTTTGCCTCACCATCTTATACATATTCCTGGCTGGAGGACACTTTCCTTTTCGTTTTGAAACTGGCCCATTTTGCACTTGGCCTTTTGCTAACGAAGATCTGGAAAGTGTTAAAGATTGTTTTGCTTGCATGGGCCCGGTTTCGCCCATTAGCTGTATGCATTAGGGAGTATTCCGCAGACGTAAAGTTGTTGCTTGAGTCGGTAAGCAGTCTAAGGAATAGACTTACCGATACTCGTTGATCGTGCTGACCACTTGGTTTCTAGTGTAATCCGTCATACATCCACTCCAACCTTTGGTTGTGGTTGACGTCGATGGGGAAGATGAAGTAGTCGGCATCGATGCTAAAGATGCAGGTGTTAGCGAGCGAGGATGACGACAAAGGTAAAGGCGCTTTACTGCTTGAGCTAGACGGTGGTTGAGTTGTTGTTGAAGTGGTTGGTGGTTCAGTTGTTGGGCTAGTCGATGGTCGAGTTGTTGTTGAAGTGGTTGGTGGTTCAGTTGTTGGGCTAGGCGATGGTCGAGTTGTTGTTGAAGTGCTTGGTGGTTCAGTTGTTGGGCTAGACGCCGGTCGAGTTGTTGTTGAAGTTCTTGCTGGTTCAGTTGTTGTAGTTGTAGCTGTGGAGTCCAAACATTACGTTACTCTTTTCCTTATAGAAGTGTTAACTCTACAAGTTCTTACCTACAGAACCCTCCGCTAGACAAAGTCCAAGTGTAGGGCTTAACTCCACGGTGTCACACTCAGACTTCGGCAGTACTGCCTTACAGGTTTTGTGATCAGTACATCCTTTCGTTGTACTCTCTTCAATATATAGAGGTTCGTTGAAATGCGGTCTGAAACGTTAAAAAAAACTAGTTTCCGGAGCTGCCAGTAACGTTCAAAGAATACCCACATTTCGCCGTACACACAAGCAATGGCAATCTTATTTTCAGAATTTTTACAAATTTTGTGCGCACACCCCACTTTCAGATTTTTGTAGTAGACCATCTGGAATACGGCAGCTTATGGAAGAAAACATTGAGCTAAACCATTGAACAAAAACAAAGGATGAACTGTGTTTAAACGTACAGACTCATCTCCTGAAGCGGATCTCTAGCCGCAAGAGTATAAAATGTGACTAGAATTAGTGCAAATCGCGCCATATAATACTCAGTGTGAATCATGTCGCAAAACCGATATACAGTCAGTTTTTTGGAAGTTCTTTTTTGAGCATTATTAGCACTAGCGATCGCGGCTGCTCAAAATGATAATAGCATGCCACACATCTATATCTTACATTAGGTCGTTCCGAAAGTTCTTTCCGTTTTTTCAACATATCATAAAAACACGTGGAACGAAGAAAGGGAAAAGCTTCAGGCACTGTTCGCCGCAACTTTTCTTCCTCTTTTCAACTATCATATTCTTGTGCCGCTCGCTCTCGTGGTCAGTGAGATAATGGCCGAAGTTTCGGAGATATGGTTTTTACCATGTCCAACTTTGGCAATTTCTCACTATCTTCTTTTTTGACTTTTGGAAAAGCTTTGGTAGCAGTCCGATAGAGTAAACAAAGCGCAATTTTATGCAATTTTTCGGCATCAATAGCTAGCCTCAAAACATTTTTAGAATTATTTTTCTGATGCTATCAGATTCCACTTTTGGGGATGCCAAAAGCCATAGAACACGGAACGGCGCAAAACTAAGGTGTCATTCGATGCAGCTTTTTCTCCTCTTTTTGATGAGTGCTTTTTCTTCTTAGTTTGTGGGGTTTTTGGCGATAAAATTTCCATAAATCTTGATTTTGAACCCGCCTCATGATGTATCCGTAAAATGCGAAATCTTATATTTCGAAGCGGTAAACGCTCAGTTACTTTGTAAAAATAGTGTACAATCATAAACGACTTTTGAAAGTTTCGAAAACTGAAGATTTGTTGATGTTCAGAGTGTTTGTGTATTTTGTGACTCTGAAAAAGTGAAGACTTCTGAAAAAGTTATCTCAAAAAATAATGAAAAGCCAGCTGGAATTGCCAAAAAATTGCATAAAATTGCGCTTTGTTTACTCTATCCGACCGCTACCAAAGCTTTTCCAAAAGTCAAAAAAGAAGATAGTGAAAAATTGCCAAATTTGGACATGGTAAAAACCATAGGTCCAAAATTTCGGCCATTATCTCATTAACCACAAGAGCGAGCGGCACAGAAGTGTGATAGTTGGAAAGAGGAAGAAAAACTGCGTCGGACAGGGCCTGAAGCGTTTCCCTACCTTCATTCCTCGTGTTTTTATGATATGTTGAAAAAACGGAAAGAACTTTCGGAACGACCTAATATATAAAGCTGAATGTCTGTCTGTCTATACGTATGTGCGGAACAGAAATTTTTAATTCTGAACCGATTTGGACCAAACGTGGCACACATATACTTCGGGGCAGGGAGCGTGTCATAGGCTACTTTTCGTTATCGATCGATATCGATTTTATCGATTTTTTGCAAAATTTGAGCTACAGGACTGGGAGTTGGTACAGGGGGGTAATCGAGCATGCTGATTACAAATATATTACTGACATGCCCGGGCGGAGCCGGGTTTGCCAACTAGTAGAGACTATATCACTCATTGTCGCGAGGACCCATGGGATGAGGCTCCGCGCGGGGTTGAGTTTCTGACATCAAATACATAGACAATCGAGTTGAAGGTGGTGACGCTTTGTTCCACCGTAAGGCCCCAGTCAAATTGCTCTGTTCCCGTTCTTGAAAAGGCTTTGAATATAGCGGTCCTAATGATTACATCAATCGTGGTCATGCTAAATTCGGCTTCAAAGCGCAAAGTGGGCTTCACATTACGAAGCTACTATGATGGTCTGAAAAGCAAGTGCTATGCCAGAATTGCGAACTATTTTGAAAATATGGAACGGGGAGTGGTTAGATTGATCCAAGGCAGGGACAAAAATGGACGACATATATGCTTTACGCTGGCATGTAAGATGTAAGTGTATGGGGGGTATGCATGTATGTATGTATGCATCTATGTATGTAATATGTATGTATGAAGTGGGCGGGGCTTAGAGTTGACAGGAGTGAAAATGTGGAATTCTGAATTTTTCAATTTTCGGCCAAAATTGCAGGTATAAATTGCATGTAAGATGTATGTGTGTGGGAGCATGCATGTATGTATGTATGCATCTATGTATGTAGTATGTATGTATGAAGTGGGAGGGGCTTAGAGTTGACAGGAGCTGAGAAACGGATTTTTGATTTTTGGATTTTCTGTCGAAATTGGAGGTATAAATTGCATGTAAGATGTATGTGTGTGGGAGCATGCATGTATGTATGTATGCATCTATGTATGTAGTATGTATGTATGAAGTGGGCGGGGCTTAGAGTTGACAGGAGTGAAAATGTGGAATTCTGAATTTTTCAATTTTCGGCCAAAATTGCAGGTATATATTGCATGTAAGATGTATGTGTGTGGGAGCATGCATGTATGTATGTATGCATATATGTATGTAGTATGTATGTATGAAGTGGGCGGGGCTTAGAGTTGACAGAAGCAAAGTTACAGAATTCAAAAATTTCGGATTTTCGGCCAAAATTGCAGGTATAATTTTCATGTAAGATGTATGTGTATGTATGGGTGCATGTATGTATGTATGCACCTATGTATGAAGTATGTATGTATGAAGTGGGCGGAGCTTAGAGTTGACAGGAGCTGAGAAACGGATTTTTGATTTTTGAAGTTTTCACAATTTTTCATTTTTTAAATTTCGCTCCAAATGGCTCTGATGTATGTATGCATGTATGTATGTATGTATGTATGTATGTATGTATGTATGTATGTATGTATGTATGTATGTATGTATTTATGTATGTATGTATGTATGTATTTATGTATGTATGTATGTATGTATGTATGTATGTATGTATGTATGTATGTATGTATGTATGTATGTATGTATGTATGTATGTATGTATCTTGTCCTACAGGAGCGTGTGTGCTACTCTCACGGAGTGGGCGGGGTTTCCAACGGAGGGGGCGGGACTTCCAATGAGTGCGGCTGGCCAAAAGTTGAAGTCTGAGGAGGTTGCGCGGCCATCTAGTGCCTCTTCCATGCACTTCGTGCATGAAAAGAGGCTTCTAGAGAGTGGCGAGGGGTCGAGGTTTCCAACGGAGGGGGCGGGGTCAGCAAAAAAGGGTAGTCGGCCATCAACGAACCTCAATGCACTTTGCCCGAACTCAATCGAGCGCTTGGGCGCGGCAATACACTATATAGAAGGTGCAGGGTTCGGGCTGTAGATGCTCTTCTTGTAGACGTCCCTGGCGGCAGGGACCATGTCAGAGTCCAAAAATGGTGTCTTCCCGGCTCGGCGGCCGGTTTAATTACCCAACTTTTTGAAAAAAAATTTGAGCATAGTTTCTTTTTTTTTTTCTTATACTCTCACCGCAAATCATTTCCTGATATGGCCTGTTCAACATACGACCGTAGCGGGCATAGGCTTTGCTCCTCGGAAGCGGCGCGATTTTGGTGCGAAAGATCACTTATCAATGGGGATGGATGGAGAAAAATCAGCTGCTTGTCGACTTTGACCAGCCCGCATCTTAGTCCGCAAGCAAGGGCCACTACGGTTGTTTGAAAGGACGATACCAATTCTCTTTTCCTTTTCGGAAGGCGTCCAAACGGAAAAATCAATTTCTCTTGCGCTCAGATTCCCTTGCCCATGCAAGTTCACGCTTTACGTCATTGCTGAAGAAAGTAAGTTGAAAAATTCTCAACAGATGCCTTTGTATCCTATGTCTCAACATTATAGAGTACTACCAGAAAAGTTCAATGCTGTGAGCAAGATTCAAATGAATGAAGTAGGATCTGTAAAATCTATGCTATAAAAACATCAAAGTTATCCGTACGACTACTAGTGGCAGTAGATGCCCTTTCAACGGGATTGGCGGCTGGAAGGCAACCGCATAACCCCGACGCAATCTGCGCCTCTTTCGCAGGCGTGCTTTCTGATGATTTAATAGCCTTGCTCCAGGCCCCGCCCTCCAGCCGCCAATCCCGTTGAATGAAAAGGCATGTCGGAGAATCTCAATCCATACTAGTATACATATGCCTTACCCGCTCTATTGGAGTTCTACCCGCCATTCATATCGTGATATCTTAAAATGCTTATTTGTTGAGAGAGTTTCGGCTCCTGACATATCTCATTTTGAACACCGAATGTTGTACTAACCTATGGTTATGTGCGCTGGTAGAGCGCCTACAGGCTTCAGAAAAAATCTTACCGGCTGATTATTTCACCACAATGCCACAATTTGAGATTTTTAGAAGATTAAGAAGCGAAAAGGACTTAGTCGCTACAAGGCAGGAAAGAAAATGTGTAGGAAGCATTTTTCATTTTTCATTTTTCTAATCTATAGATTCAAGAGATCAAGTCTGAAAATGACATTGATTTAATCACTGCTACTGATACATCACACTCGGTGACAAGATTCACTTTAGTTTAGCTTATGTTTGGCTTGTACACATGACGGCTTGGTGATCGTAGAAATAAAGATGCCAATATTCTTGCAGTACCTACATTTGCAAAAGGTTTTGCACTTTCATTTTCGTATTTAGCATCGCTTAGTGGTAGACCAGCTGTATCACGCCATTCCCCGATGGCGTCCTGATATCCGTGCTTTAGTCCTTCTTCTTCTGTATCTATCACTCGTAACCTAAAAAAACCAAATGCGAACATTGCAGTCTCATCTGCTTTACTAACGTCATTGAATTGATGGCCTTGTTCCAGAGGTGACCTAGTCCTTCATTGACTTTGCAGTCATCTTCGTTGATAGCTACAGCTGCAAGATTTGCATTTCCCGAATCGTAGCACTGAAAATGCTTCTTATTAGATTTACATTGCTTATTGGAGTAGTATTTGTTCGAAGGGCACTTCTAAAAATACAGAGCTTTCGGAGGCTACGAAGCCAGAGTTGATGCTTTTTTAGTTTTGTTGGCTAAACCAACGAGTAGCTTTTGCAATTCATAGCCTCAATCAAATCTGATAAGGCAAAGTATCAATGAAGCTCGTATAAAAAAGGGATATAACTTCACCATATGTCAAATGTAAATACCAACAACAACGCGAACTTGCTTTCTTTCAGAGTTGTCTGTCTATACGGGCACTGAGACAATGCAGGAACCACACTACTGGAGGTCCTGATGGAAATTTTGATGAACACAAGATGGAAGGACATCAGCGGCCTGAACTTACTTTTTTCCTAAGCTGCTTCGCTATATCGTTAAAAAAGTATTTCCGTATTTTTAACAACGCCAAAACCGTCAAGATAAGCATCTAAAGGTGATACAAGTAGCATTCATTGCAGATTTTCATCCTCTTTCTGATATCAAAACCTACATGCTATCCAAAAAAGTACTGGAATTTTAGCTGGTCACCGCTAACACGGCTAGATTCGACTACTTTTTGAAACGTTACATAGACTTCCAGCAAAGAATTTCAGGCTTTCTTTCACTCATTTTCGAATTTTCTAAAACATTACTCTAAAAAATCAGTTTCTTAAAGGCAGTGTCCGGGCAAAAACTCGATCTTGAGATTTTTTGCTTACCCTGGCCTATTCGCTACACTGAATTCGAAAATGCACATTGGAGAGCGCGAAAACGGCGAAAAACGGCTTTATGGGAGGGAAATCAGCAGGTGGGCGGGGTCCTCCCCACTGTGAATTTACGCTCCGCTCCCAGCTTCCAGAGCAATCTTCTCGGTTTCGATTTCAAGTCATGCATTCGCACCTGGTGGAGATCTCAGGGAGCTAGAGGAATTGGGAAGATCGCTCCAGAAGCTGGAACTGCGAAATTCACAGTGGGGAGGACAGCGCCCACTTCCGATTTCCCTCCTGCGTTAGAGCCCTTTTTTGCCGTTTTTGCGCTTTCCAATGTGGATTTTCGGATTCAGCAGAGTGAATAGGCCTGGATAAGCACAAAATCTTAGAATCGACTTTTTGCCCGGACACTGCCTTTAACACCATTGTAACACTTAATAGCACTCAACACCTCAAAAATCACTTTTGCAACCAAAACTCAATAATACAGCATGATTTTTCCACGCGGCTTAAGGCTAGGTTCATACTGATTCCCATGTTCTAGAACTGTTCCTGCACAGTTCTCGGTTCTCGCACTGTGCTGAAACTGTTCCAGAACTGTGCTGCGTGCGCTGCCGCCCCGCACCGTTTTGAATGGCGGGAGTTGGAGAATTTTGACGTTCTCAGCGGTTTTTCTTTCAGATTTCTCTCATTTTGGTTTCATTCCTCCACCCCGCTTCCCTTTTTGACCGGCAGAACTTCGAACTCGAAGCGGGGTTGAAGGGATCGTTCATACCGCGCACAAAGGCGGACGAAGGCGGACGAAGCCGGACAAAGGCGGACGAAGGCGGACGAAGCCGGACAAAGCCGGACAAAGGCGGACGAAGGCGCGGTCTCGTCTCGTCTCGTTTCTCTCGACAGCACACACACACTCACACGCGCCTTCGTCCGGCTTTGTCCGGCTTCGTCCGCCTTTGTCCGGCTTCGTCCGGCTTTCCGCCTTCGTCCGCCTTCGTCCGCCTTTGTGCGCGGTATGAACGATCCCGAAGAATGAACTCTTTTCTGCTCTGTGTATGCGACAAAACGTGTGTTCTTGTGCTCGTCCATTCTCTCTTCGTTAATTTTGCTCAAAATTACTTCATTTGTTCCAGAAAACAGCTGCGTAATCTCGCTTCTGTATTGAAATTTACATAGACAGGTCTATAGAGCACATGAAATAGGCCTGAACAAGAATGGCAGAGAAGGTGGACGAACGCACGAAGGCCCACCTTCTCGGATAAATGAAGCAAAACACCGTTCAATCCTCAATTCCGCTTTAAGTTCGCAGCTTTTCTCATTACAAGAAGAAGCGGGCAAAAGGAGGAACGGGTAAGCAACGACATGGAAAAAGGAAAAGGGCTGAGAACACTCAAAAACGAAACTCATCAAAAACGAGAGACAAGTCCCAATTCATGCATTTTCAAAATTACTCCTACTCCCTAATTCGTGGCAGATGGCTATGGAAACTACACAGCGGCTTTCTGGAACAAATGAAGTAATTTTGAGCAAAATTAGCGAAGAGAGAATGGACGAGCACAAGAACACACGTTTTGTCGCATACACAGAGCAGAAAAGAGTTCATTCTTCAACCCCGCTTCGAGTTCGAAGTTCTGCCGGTCAAAAAGGGAAGCGGAGTGGAGGAATAAAACCAAAATGAGAGAAATCTGAAAGAAAAACCCTTGAGAACGGTTAAAAATTTCCAACTCCTGCCGTTCAAAACGTGTGCGGGGCGGCTGCAGCGCATGCAGCACAGTTCCGGTACAGTTTCAGCACAGTGTGAGGATTGTGCGGGAACAGCTCCAGAACGTGGAAATCAGCATGAACCCAGATTAAAGTTGGCACAGGGGTGTATGTGAGCATGCTAATTACAAAACATTAGCAGAATTATCGATTACCTGTCGATTACCTTTACCGATTTTATGGATTCTTTGCAGACTTTGAGTTAGGGGGCTGGAAGTTGGCGCGGGGAGTGAATGAGCATGCTGAATCCGAAGCACGAGGGGGTGAGGTGGGGGGAGTATAGAATTGGCATATAGAACTGAGAAAGGGACAGAGAAATGTGATGATCGAAGAAGAGATCGTTCAAACAAGTTTACTCGACTTGTGATGAGATTTAGCAAGCTAATTGTTGTGAGGGTAGATACTGTTTTCTACCTTGACAAAAAAACAAATCGATTACGTTTGCTAATTTCCCCTAATGTTTCAACGAAAAAATTTTCGTCCTTCTATACTGGGCCCTGTTCAGTCTTTTTCAAAACGACAATACGAATAGTCCTCCGGAAGGAAAACGCTCAGGAGCTCAACAGAAATATATTTTCCTAAAGAATATCTCCGTTTCGTAGAAAAATTTCATCTGGGAAATATACAATTGCACGAGCATACTTAGAAAACACACTACTCCTGCCCTTATAAGAAAAGCAAGGAGCGAGCAGTTTTAACTCCGCGAGAAAAAAAAGCTCGAGGCTTCCAGATATTGTTGCAAGAAAACCTTCGTTGCATGGAAACTCTAAAGATGGGGAATTGATCCCTTCCAATAAAAACCCAGGAGGTTATTGCAAAATTTTTTCTAAAATATTGACTATTTGTGTTTTGTAAAAAAAACTTTACCTAAAACGAGAAATACGATCTGAGCATGTGCTGTAAAAAGTCCTACCTCTGCTTACGAGTAGGAGTGTACTAAGCGAGTTTGGCCTCGTGAGGGGAAAAAAACTTAGGGGCTTTCTGCAAAAAGATATTTTGGCAAAACCACTTCTTGTCCTAATCGGACAAGACCTCTGCTCGATGGAGGAAAAAACTCAGGGGTTTTTCGCAAGAAGATGTTTTTGCAATAAAATAGTTTTTTTATAGAAAACTTTTGCTTAATCTAGATTTACCCTCGGGAAAACGTTAAAAAATCCGCTCTTCTGGTCCCAATCAGAAAAGCAATGAACTTTGGCCTCGAGGAAGATCCAAAAACTTAGGGCTTTTAGCAAAAAAATATTACCGCAAAGAATACCTCTGCTAGAAAAAAGCTCAGCGATTTTCAGCGAAAAGATGTTTTGGTACGGTAATAGTGTTTTTGATAATAGTTATTATAGTAGCAATGGTTTTGGTAAGAGCATTCATAAACACTTTCGCTGATTTTTTCCGCGACTCAAAATCAATGAATAAATATGGCTCTAAAATGTCAACGTGCCCTTTCTTCGGGTTTTTTATACTTCGCTGTTTTTCGATTATCAGAGTAACAGAGTGTAACTTTTATAAGTACTAGGTTATTACATAAGTCTTGTTACACTTAACTTCTAACGGCGAAAGCCATACACCTCATAGTCTTTGCAGGAATCCAAGGTACCATTCGATAGAACAAAGCAAGCTCTACAGGAAGGTGTGCAAAATTTCGCACCAGCTCCGACCCACCATAAGTTTGCATCCAAAATCTGAGTAGTACTGAAAACTCAAAATTGCGAAAAATTCATATCTTTGTTCAGAAAAATCCTCGAATCTCCAACTTGCTCACAAAAATTGTCCACTATATCAAACACTCATATGTACCATTGCTGTACTTTTTCCTTATCTGAAATCGAGAAAAGAAATTTTTTTTAGTTTGTACAAAAGCGAAGCTATACTGTTTTTATTCATGTAGCTGTATACTACAAGTCCTTAGAAGTATAACTGTAAATTTTCAGCTCTCCAGAAGCCCTAGTTTTCGGAAATTAAATTTAGCACTGAACACCCAAGTGGGAGAAGCTAAATTTGGTATTTTTTAAAAACTAGGGCTTGCGGAGAGCTGAAAATTTACGGTTATACTTCTAAGGGCTTGCAGTATACAGCTACATGAATAGAAACAGCATAGCTTCGTTTTTGTAAAAACTAAAAAAATTTTTTCTCTCGATTTCTAGATAAGGAGAAAATACAGCAATGGTACATATGAGTGTTTGATATAGTGGGCAATTTTTGTGAGCAAATTGGAGATTCGAGGATTTTTCTGAACAAAGATATGAATTTTTCGCAACTTTGGGGCCTTCAGCACTACTCAGATTTTGGATGCAAACTTACGATGGATCGGAGCTGGTCCGAACTTTTGCACACCTTCTTGTAGAGCTTGCTTTGCTCTATCGAATGGTACCTTGGAATCCTGCAAAGACTATGAGGGGTATGACTTATCGCCGTTAGAAATTAAGTGTAACAAGACTTATATAACAACCTAATATTATGCTTTAAGGCTTGTGGTGGACCACATTATGTGGAAATAGTCAGGGGCGAACTTTGTTATTCTCGGACTGTCTTTTTTTTGAATTTATGAGCGAAAAAAATTAGCAAATGCCTGTATGAACACTATCATGAATCTTGTGTATGGGGACCGATTTGGGGCTTTGCAAGATTCTTTTTTTGCAAAATCAATTTTCAAGTGACAATTTTTTCAATTTTGGCTCTAAACTTATCTGGATTACAACTTAGTCGATTCATCAAAGAGCTTGTTTCGCTTTATTAAATGGTACCTTGAGTTTGCTTGGAAAGCAAAAACATCCTAATTTGTTCGAAATAAAGGATTACTTTCGAGACAACTTGATAACTTGATACTCTGGAAACTCTACTTCCCTAAATAGAAGGATAACGAGCTTTGGTCTTGAGAGAGGAAAAGGCTCAGGGCTTTCAAAAAAATATTTTCGGAGAGAATGCCTCTTTTTTACCTGCAATTTTCACTTGACGTGGTAAAAAATCCACCTCTGGAACATGTGCTGAAAGAGCCTACACCTACCTTCAAAGAAAAAGAATGAGCGAGGCTTAATCCTTCGAAAAAAAAAAGAAAACGTATAGGGGCTTTTTGCAATAAGACTTCTGGCAAAGGATACCTTTGTTTCATAGGAGATTTTTACTTGATCTGGGGATCTATGTACTTTCCAGAGCACGTACTTTGAAAAACCCAACTCTTGACTTTCAATTGAGGCTGCTAAAAAGAATTCACTTGGAATGTTGACATATTATTATTAACGACAGTAGTGATAAAATGCCAACATCCCAGGTAATTCCCTCCCTCCCCCCTCCATTCTGCTTCTTTCCACCTTATTTGTAAATTTCTCTCACGTATATATAATTAAGTGGAAAGACGCCAATTTGAAGGAAGACCATCTGGTAATTTTTTCGTTAACAACGCATTATTTGGAGAAGCACCTCCACAGCAAAATCTAAAAAAACTAGCTAGAGTTTTGCTTCACAAACAAGATTTTGTGGCGAGGGAAGGCACAATGCTTACAAATATGTAGGACATAGGAGGATAGGACATTTTGGATATATTTCCATCCACCTTTACAAAAGCGATGTGCATAAGCCAGCACAGTTGACATTATAGAAAACCTACCAATCTAAACATAGATCTTGATCCTATTTTGTTATATTCAACAGTCTCCCCTTCCTCTCCTCCCTTCTCTTCCGGTTCGGGATATGCAAAGCTTCGTCGCGCGACTCCCTGTCGTATGTCATTGTGCAGTCTCACAGCGCCATAAGTATCGTTATCTTTCTCTGGACATTCTGCTGGAATATGCATTATTTTAAAGTAGCTCGGTAAATTTTTGCGCTATCTTCAAGTCTCTACTTGTTGAGCTGGACGCTGGTCGAGTTGTTGTTGAAGGGCTTGGTGGTTCAGTTGTTGGGCTGGACGCTGGTCCAGTTCTTGTGGAAGTGCTTGGTGGTTCAGTTGTTGGGCTAGACGATGGTCGAGTTGTTGTTGAAGTTCTTGCTGAACATTACGTTACTCTTTTCTGTATAGAAGTGTTAACTCTGCAAGTTCTTACCTACAGAATCCTCCGCTGTGAGACAAAGTCCAAGTGTAGGGCTTCCCTCCTCGGTGTCACACTGAGACTTCGGCACTACGGCCTTGCAGGTTCTGTGATCAGTACAACCTTTCATTGTGCTATCTTCAATATATAGAGGTTCGTTGAAATGCGGTCTGAAACGTTAAAAAAAACTAGTTTCCGGAGCTGCCAGTAACGTTCAAAGAATACCCACATTTCGCCGTACACACAAGCAATGGCAATCTTATTTTCAGAATTTTTACATATTTTGTGCGCACACCCCACTTTTAGGTTTTTGTAGTAGACCATCTGGAATATAGCAATTCAAGGAAGGCCTCATTGAGTAAAACAATCAAACATGGGCAGAAGATGAACGTATGCAGACTATATGTCCCGTAGCATGGAATCCAGCCGGAGGTGTATTAATATGAATGAAGTTAGTGCAAATTGTCACATATAATATTTAATGTAAACACTCGCTAGACTACGAAACATTCAGATTTTGCCTCAAAAGCTCTTTCTTAGATAGTATCGGCACTATGTAGCGCTCCAAGGATATGGCATGTCACATATCTATGTAGGCAACGCAATAGCATTGAAGGCGATGGATGTATAGCTTTTCAAATGAGCACAACTCCTGAGATAACCTGGTCATAGTAGGTAGCTTTGTGAGCTAATTAAAACAGTGCTTTAGTCATGAAGGTTTTAAATGGAAATCTTATGTATTTCCCGTATGTTACTAACAACACAAAAAAAGTTCGTAGTTGCGTTCATATAGACATTCTTTTTGCAAATGTAGATATTGGTTGGCTGAAGCAGGCTTGACTAAATCAAGGATGTAGATGCGCGAGATTCCATAGTAGGGTTTTAAAGTGTGTGTTCCTAAAAACGCTTTGAAAGGCAGATGCGGTTCTGATGACTACATTGAAGGTGTCATACTAAGCTCAGCTTTAAAGCGCAGAGTGGGCTGCTCATAGTACATGCAGGAAGCTATAGGTTCTGAAAAACCCAGCATCATGCAGTAACTGAAACTGCATTGCAAATGTGAAAGGCCGGAGGGGGGGGGGGGAGGGTCAAAACCAAGTCAGAGTTAGAGCGAGAGCGATAATCTTTGCTCTGCAAATCATTTCTTGGCACCACTCCTCTTTCCCTATTCCCAAAAAGCACCAAAAAGAAAAACAGATTAACTCTTTATTGTTGACTAAGTCAGTCAAAAGGGTTTTTGAGCGAGCAAAGTGCTTGGGTTCTCCTGACTGTGCAACAACCCACACGCTACGTCATTGAAAGAAGGTAAGTTGCAAAATTTATAAACAATGAATTTTTATTTTCTGCGTCTCCACTCCACATCTCACAAGGCCAGATCAAGATGGTGAGCTAAGCCCGAATGATCAAAGTAGGATCTGTAAAACACATGCAATGAAAACACCAAAGTTATACACGTGCAATTACTATAATAGCGGCAACAAAACATTCGAAAATCTGAACCCACACCCGCAGCATGTACTCAACCCGCTTTGGTTAAAACCCTCCCGCCATTTCTGATATCGTGAGCTCAAAAGCCATCCCGCGCAGAGTTCAGCCCCAAACGCTTTCTGCTAAGAGATTTATGGTTTCCGACATATCTCACTTTTGTCAAACTTCCTACGCTACAATACCATGAGAAAGTAACAGCTTTGCGCGTAAAGGTTTTGAGAAGTAATAGACTCCTCATCACAACTGTTTTTTCCCCGCAATGCCACAATGTGGTGCTTTTTGAGGAAGCAAGGAGGGGTTAGCTGCTACAATCTAGGAAAGAAAAATTGTGAAGTATAGTATCATCAAAGATGACACTGATTTCACTGCTACTGAAACACCACATATGATTAGTAGGAAATGGTCAGAAATTAATCCAGCCATTCCAAACAAACTATATATAATCGGACTCGTCTTAAAACGTTGATTTCATATGAATGTTTATTATCTCTTAAGCGACTACCTGAACGAATTATGAGCGTTCAGATACGAAAAATTATTCGAATTTCAGCGAGTATAGTTTGTTGAAGGGCAGCCTGATGGCGCGGATTTACAGTGGCTATGGGTATTCTTATTACGAAGAAAAAGCTCGTTCACCAAAAACCTGAATAAGTGTTTTGAAACATAGTTCGTGGAAATGTGTCACAGAACACTCGACAAATCGCACATTCAAACGCCATTAACGCCGTCCAGATACTCGCATATACTTAGAATCAGAGTTTCAAAGCGAGTCCGTCGATATATGGCTTGTTTGGTACGGCAAGGTTAAGTTCTGTAGGAAATGGTCAGAAATTAATCCAGCCATTCCAAACAAACTATATATAATCGGACTCGTCTTAAAACGTTGATTTCATATGAATGTTTATTATCTCTTAAGCGACTACCTGAACGAATTATGAGCGTTCAGATACGAAAAATTATTCGAATTTCAGCGAGTATAGTTTGTTGAAGGGCAGCCTGATGGCGCGGATTTACAGTGGCTATGGGTATTCTTATTACGAAGAAGAAGCCCGTTCACCAAAAACCTGAATAAGTGTTTTGAAACATAGTTCGTGGAAATGTTTCACAGAACACTCGACAAATCGCACATTCAAACGCCAATAACGCCGTCCAGATACTCGCTTATATTTAGGATCAGAGTTTCAAAGCGAGTCCGTCGATATATGGCTTGTTTGGTACGGCAAGGTTAAGTTCTGACCATTTCCTGCTTAGCTTACGTTTGCACTGTGCACAGCACGGCTTGGTAATTGTAGAAATGATGTCAACTTTCTTTGCGGTACCTACATTTGCGAAAGGTTTTGCACTTTCTAATCTGTAAATAGCATCGCTAAGTGGTAAATCAGCTGTGTCAAGCCATTTCTCAATTGCGTCGTGATATCCGTACTTCAGTCCTTCTTCTTTTGTATTTATCACTCGTAACCTAAACAACCACATACGAATATTCTGCAATCTCATCTGTTGAACTAACGTTATTGAATTGATGGCCTTGTGCCAGACGTTCTCTATTTCTTCATTGACTTTGCAATCATCTTCGTTAATAGCTACAGCTGCTAGATTTGCATTTTCCGAATCGTAGCACTGAAAATGCTTTCTATCAGATTAGTGTTGCTTCAAGAGTAGCTTTTGTTCAAAGGGCATTTACAAAAATGTAGAGCCTTCAGAGGCTACAAAGCAGTGTTCAAGCTTTCCTGTTTTCACTCGCTAAGCCAACAGGTACTTTTGCTCTTTACAGAATTAATCACATCTGATAAGGCAAAGTATTGGAAGGCTCGTATAAACAAAGAATATTGCTTTACCATATGCTTAGAGAAAATATCAACATAAACGAGGCTTGGCCTTCTTCCAGGCTTTTCTGTCTTGTGCGAGCTCTGAGACAATGCCGGGAACAAACTACTGGAGGCCCCGATGGAAATTTTGATGAATTCGATGTGGAAGGACTCCAGGGTCCTGATCTTCTTTTTTACTTGAACTGCTTGAATTCAAAAATATTTTCTTACTTTCAACAATTCCAAAACCGTCAAGATAAACATTCAAAGGTGATCCAAATAGCATTCGTTGCAGTTTTTCATCCTCTTTCTATTTCTATATTCAAGTTATAAAGTTGAGAATCTTATGCTACCAAAGAAAGTACTAGGGTTTTTAGTTGGTCACCGCTAACGCGCAAAGTTCATCTATTTTTTTAAACGTTTGCTCAGATCTAGGGAATTTTCAGGCAATCGGTCAATCATTTTTGAGTTTTCAAAAGTATCATCAAAAAATCAGTCTCTCAGCATTGTTCTAACACATGATAGCATCCAGCACCTCAAAAACTACATTTTCAACAAAAACTCAGTAATATGTATGAGAGTTTAACAATAATCAAACAAAAAAAAGTCAAACCACAAAGCCTAACTGAAGTGAAGTAAGCTAATGATAGTTCATTGTTCAATGATAGTTTTGAAAACAAGGTTCCATGAACTCTGAAAGATGATGAAAACAAATTATTAAAAGATTCTTGTTTTTCATAAATTTTCTTCTATCCAATTGTAACTTGAGCTCCTTTTGCGCTGCAGATATAACTTTCTAGAAAAAGTACGAGATACCATGGCAATGACCATGATTGGTAGACTTTCTACCTTTCTACCAAAGTTTACCAATCATGGTCATTGCCATGGTATCTCGTACTTTTTCTAGAAAGTTATATCTGCAGCGCAAAAGGAGCTCAAGTTACAATTGGATAGAAGAAAATTTAATTTAATTTTATATTTATTTTATTTATTTTAATTTTATAGTTCTTAAAACAAACTACAAGGAAGCAGAATCTTTTGAAAGAATACGGAGTGCTGCTTCGGACGCGATCATATCAATGCGAAGAATCTTTGTTTTGCGAATTGTGGCGCTGTTTGAAAAAAGTGAAAGTACTTTCGGAGCGATGTCATATGTTTTTCGAGCATCTTTTTCCGCAATTATTCCCTCTTGACCCCTATTATTTCCCTTCTTGAAAAATTGGTGTCAAAGCATTTTTTGAAAAAATGAAAAGAAAAACTCGGATACGAGCATACGAAATTTATTTTCTCTTGCTCTCAGAAGGCTGAATGCAGGATTTGCAATTTGAACAACTGCGATGTTCGATGAAAGCAGGAAAATCGACAACTTATCATAGAAATCAACAAAATGCTCTAAAACCTTTTCGCAAACGCAAATTTCATATTTTTGGAATCCTCTCCCATAACATAGAAACTCAAATCCAAAAAACCTGAGTGCTAGGCTGGTCCTCCCTATAATGGGTATAATTTTATTTTGATAGAAACCATTCGAAAAATTTGGCATTTTGAGGTTAGTGCAGATGGTGTGATTGCGGCAAGAGAGCTTAGACGTCGAGAGCGGCGAGAGAATATTTCACAGATCAAAATTTCGCGTTGAAATTCGAAAGCTGTGCTGGTGAATGAATCTCAGCTACGAAATTATGCAGTTATTGTTCCGCACATACATCTCATTACACTGTTTAGCCAATTGTTTATTCTAGTTTATGTAAAGAGTAAGTGAGCATGCTGATTACAAATTTGATAAGCTGTTGCAAGTAACCATTTTTATTGATTTTACCGATTTCCGCAGACTCTGAGTTGCCGGGTGTTGGGATCTGATTTGATATATGAGGTAAATGAACATGCTAGTTACGAATGTAGTACACTTTTGCACACTTTTCGAAGCTTTCGAATAATTGATATTATAGGAAACCTACCAATCTAAACATAGATCTTGATCCTATTTTGTTATATTCAACAGTCTCCCCTTCCTCTTCTCCCTTTCCTTCCGTTTCAGGATATGCAAAGCTTCGTCGCGCGACACCTTGTCGTATGTCATTGTGCAGTCTCACAGCGCCATAAGTATCGTCATCTTTTTCTGGACATTCTGCTGGAATATGCATTTTGAAGTAATATCTCCTCCATGACGAAGGCGGTCGCCCAAATAGGTTGACAGCATGCAAGACTGACGCGCACGCGGCGCGCGGGCATTTGTCAACCACGGGTCGCGCGCACGCTCGCGTGAATGACCGCTGAACGAGCGTGCGTGCGCCCTGTGGTTGACAATTGCGCGCGCGCCGCAGCTTTGCATGTTTTCAACCTATTTGGGCGACCGCCTTCGTCTTGGAGCAGATATTAGCTAGTAAATTTTTGCGTTATCTTCAAGTTCCTACTTGTTGAGCCGGACGCTGGTCGAGTTCCTGTTGAAGTAGTTGCAGCGGTGGTGGTGCCTGAACATTACGTCGCTCTTTTTATTTGAAAGTGATCTACAAGTTATTACCTGCTAAATCCTCCACTGTGAGGCAAAGTCCAAGTGTAGGGCTTCCCTCCTCGGTGTCACACTGAGACTTCGGCAGTACTGCCTTGCAGTTTTTGTGATCAATACACCCTTTCGTTGTACTATCTTCAATATATAGAAGTTCGTTGAGTTGCGGTCTGAAACGTTGAAAAAACTAGTTTCCGGAGCTGCCAGTAACGTTTAAAGAATACCCACATTTCGCCGTACACACAAGCAATGGCAATCTTATTTTCAGAATTTTTACATATTTTGTGCGCACACCCCACTTTTAGGTTTTTGTAGTAGACCATCTGGAATATAGATAGCAATACAAGGAAGGCATCATTGAGTAAAACAATCAAACATGGGCGGAAGATAACTACGGTTGGAACGTATGCAGACTATATCTCCTGTAGCATGGAATCCAGCCAGAGGAGTATCAATATGAATAAAGTTAGTGCAAATTGTCACATATAATATTCAATGTAAACACTCGCTAGACTACGAAACATTCAGTTTTTGCCTCAAAAGCTCTTTCTTAGACAGTATCGGCACTATGTAGCGCCACGAATGATATGGCATGTCACACGTTTATATAGGCAACGCAATAGCATTGAAGGCGATGGATGTATAGCTTTTCAAATAAGCACAACTCCTGAGATAGACTGGTCATAAGAGGTAGCCTTTTGAGTTAAATAAAACAGTCAGTCATGAAGGATTGAATGGAAACCTTATGCATCTCTTGTATATTGCTAATAACACAAAAAAGTTCGTAGTACGTGCGGTTAGACATTCTTTTTGCAACATGTAGTTATTGGTTGGCTGAAAGCAGACTTGACAAAATCAAGGATGCACAGGCCCCCAAAACCCAATTGCCCACACGTCGCTTTGAACACCAACGCGCGGCGCGGCTGGAAACGTTTGGTCCCGAAGCGCTGCAGGCTTTTTTCGAGCGACAATGAACGCGCGTCCTTTCCACATATATTTTTTTTTAACTTTTGAGGGGGGCTTTCGTCGAGATATACCTTGCATTGACGATAACCACATGAAAATTAAGGAAAATTTTTTTGGAATATAGTGAACGCCGACAGTCGTTCGCGGCAACCGCTCGCTTACGCTGGTGTTCAAGGCACGGCGCGGGTAATTAGGTTTTACGGCGCCTATAGATACGCGAGAGTTGGAGGTGGGACGCCTTCTTCCACAGTAGGGTTCTAAAGTGAGTGTTCCTGAAAACGCTTTGAAAGGCAGATGCGGTTCTGATGACTACATTGAATGTGTCATACTAAGCTCAGCTTTGAAGCGCAGAGTGGGCTGCTCATAGTACATGCAGAAAGCAATAGGTTCTGAAAAACCCAGCATCATGCAGTAACCGAAACTGCATTGTAAATGTGGAAGGTCGGAGGGGAGGGGGAGGGTCAAATCCAAGTCAGAGTTAGAGCGAGAGCGATAATCCTTGCTTTGGAAGTGAGATCGCTCTGCGTTCCTGGCACCAATCCTCTTTCCCTATTCCCAAAAAGCGCCAAAAAGAAAAACAGATTAACTCTTCATTGTTTACCAAGTCAGCAAAAGGGCTTTTAATCGAGCAAAGTGCTTGGGTTCCCCTAACTATGCAAGAACTCACACGCTACGTCATTGAAAGAAGCTAAGTTGCAAAATTTATAAACAATAAATCATCTTCTGCGTCTCCACACCTCACAGACCAGATCAAGATGGTGAGCTAAGCCCGAATGATCAAAGTAGGTCCGTAGACACATGCAGTGAAAACACCAAAGTTATACCTGTGCAATTACTATAATAGCGGCAATAAAACTTATTCGAAAATCTGTACCCATACTCGCAGTATAATGTAGTAAACCCGCTTTGGTTAAAACCCTTTCGCCATTTTTGATATCGTGAGCTCAAAAGCCATCCCGCGCAGAGTTCAGTCCCAAACGCTTTCTACTAAGAGAGTTATGGCTTCTGATATATCTCACTTTTGTCAAACTTCCTACGCTACAATACCATGAGAAAGTAACAGCTTTGCGCGTAAAGGTTTTGAGAAGTAATAGACTCCTCATCACAACTGTTTTTTCCCCGCAATGCCACAATGTGGTGCTTTTTGAGGAAGCAAGGAGGGGTTAGCTGCTACAATCTAGGAAAGAAAAATTGTGAAGTATAGTATCATCAAAGATGACACTGATTTCACTGCTACTGAAACACCACATATGATTAGTAGGAAATGGTCAGAAATTAATCCAGCCATTCCAAACAAACTATATATAATCGGACTCGTCTTAAAACGTTGATTTCATATGAATGTTTATTATCTCTTAAGCGACTACCTGAACGAATTATGAGCGTTCAGATACGAAAAATTATTCGAATTTCAGCGAGTATAGTTTGTTGAAGGGCAGCCTGATGGCGCGGATTTACAGTGGCTATGGGTATTCTTATTACGAAGAAGAAGCCCGTTCACCAAAAACCTGAATAAGTGTTTTGAAACATAGTTCGTGGAAATGTGTCACAGAACACTCGACAAATCGCACATTCAAACGCCAATAACGCCGTCCAGATACTCGCTTATATTTAGGATCAGAGTTTCAAAGCGAGTCCGTCGATATATGGCTTGTTTGGTACGGCAAGGTTAAGTTCTGACTATTTCCTGCTTAGCTTACGTTTGCACTGTGCACAGCACGGCTTGGTAATTGTAGAAATGATGTCAACTTTCTTTGCGGTACCTACATTTGCGAAAGGTTTTGCACTTTCTAATCTGTAAATCGCATCGCTAAGTGGTAAATCAGCTGTGTCAAGCCATTTCTCAATCGCGTCGTGATATCCGTACTTCAGTCCTTCTTCTTTTGTATTTATCACTCGTAACCTAAACAACCACATACGAATATTCTGCAATCTCATCTGTTGAACTAACGTTATTGAATTGATGGCCTTGTGCCAGACGTTCCCTATTTCTTCATTGACTTTGCAATCATCTTCGTTAATAGCTACAGCTGCTAGATTTGCATTTTCCGAATCGTAACACTGAAAATGCTTTCTATCAGATTAGTGTTGCTTCAAGAGTAGCTTTTGTTCAAAGGGCATTTACAAAAATGTAGAGCCTTCAGAGGCTACAAAGCAGTGTTCAAGCTTTCCTATTTTCACTCGCTAAGCCAACAGGTACTTTTGCTCTTTACAGAATTAATCACATCTGATAAGGCAAAGTATTGGAAGGCTCGTATAAACAAAGAATATTGCTTTACCATATGCTTAGAGAAAATATCAACATAAACGAGGCTTGGCCTTCTTCCAGGCTTTTCTGTCTTGTGCGAGCTCTGAGACAATGCCGGGAACAAACTACTGGAGGCCCCGATGGAAATTTTGATGAATTCGATGTGGAAGGACTCCAGGGTCCTGATCTTCTTTTTTACTTGAACTGCTTGAATTCAAAAATATTTTCTTACTTTCAACAATTCCAAAACCGTCAAGATAAACATTCAAAGGTGATCCAAATAGCATTCGTTGCAGTTTTTCATCCTCTTTCTATTTCTATATTCAAGTTATAAAGTTGAGAATCTTATGCTACCAAAGAAAGTACTAGGGTTTTTAGTTGGTCACCGCTAACGCGCAAAGTTCATCTATTTTTTTAAACGTTTGCTCAGATCTAGGGAATTTTCAGGCAATCGGTCAATCATTTTTGAGTTTTTAAAAGTATCATCAAAAAATCAGTCTCTCAGCATTGTTCTAACACATGATAGCATCCAGCACCTCAAAAACTACATTTTCAACAAAAACTCAGTAATATGTATGAGAGTTTAACAATAATCAAACAAAAAAAAGTCAAACCACAAAGCCTAACTGAAGTGAAGTAAGCTAATGATAGTTCATTGTTCAATGATAGTTTTGAAAACAAGGTTCCATGAACTCTGAAAGATGATGAAAACAAATTATTAAAAGATTCTTGTTTTTCATAAATTTTCTTCTATCCAATTGTAACTTGAGCTCCTTTTGCGCTGCAGATATAACTTTCTAGAAAAAGTACGAGATACCATGGCAATGACCTTGCTAATTTCATAGCTTTCAAAATGAACTGCAAGGAAGCAGAATCTTTTGAAAGAATACGGAGTGCTGCTTCGAACGCGATCATATCAATGCGAAGAATCTTTGTTCTGCGAATTGTGGCGCTCGTTTGAAGAAAATGAAAGTACTTTGGGAGCGATGTGATATGTTTTTCGAGCATCTTTCCGCAATTATTCCCTCTTGACCCCTATTATTTCCCTTCTTGAAAAATTGGTGTCAAAGCATTTTTTGAAAAAATGAAAAAAACTCAGATGCGAGCATATAAAATTTATTTTCTCTTGCTCTCAGAATGCTGGATGCAGAATTTGCAATTTAAACAATGCGACGATCGATGCAAGCAGGAAAATCGACAACTTATCATAAAAATTAACAAAATTCTCCAAAACCTTTTCGCAAACGCAAATTTCATATTTTTGGAATCCTCTCCCATAACATAGACTCAAATCCAAAAAACCTGATTGCTAGACTGGTCCTCCCCATGTATGGGTATAATTTTATTTTGATAAATCCAGTCGAAAAATTTTGCCACATTTTTGAGGGTGGTGCAGATGCTGTGATGACGACAAGAGAGCTTAGACGTCGAGAGCGGCGAGAGAATATTTTACAGGATCAAAATTTCGCGTTAAAATTCGAAAGCTGTGCTGGTGAGTGAAACTCAGCTACGAAATTATGCAGTTATTGTTCCGCACATACATCTCATTACACTGTTTAGCCAATTGTTTATTCTAGTTTATGTAAAGAGTAAGTGAGCATGCTGATTACAAATTTGATAAGCTGTTGCAAGTAACCATTTTTATTGATTTTACAGATTTCCGCAGACTCTGAGTTGCCGGGTGTTGGGATCTGACTTGATATACGGGGTAAATGAACATACTGGTTACGAATGTAGTAACCCTGCTAGATGCTTATCTTTTTTGTGGAGCTCAAAGTTGCACATGGCAGAAGATCATTTGAGGGAGTTACCTCACATTTTCGAAATTTTGAGGAATTCTACGAAAATCTCTTTTGAGAGCAGTGTGTTGTTACCCCAACTTTTCTTTCAAAAAAGTAGTTGAGTGTGCAAATCTGGTTTCGTCGGAGGAAAAACCTCAACGAGTGCAGGTAGAGGAATATTCAAGAAAACTGTCTCTCGTGCGTCGCGCAAATCTCAAGGAAGTTTCCGGAAAATTACCTTTTACGAGCAGTTAAGCTACTGAAGTCTCATCTTTCCCTTGCAGACGTGATCGTATGATAGAGCCCGATTCGGCTGGAAAGGAACTTATATGTGCACCAGGGCGGTCGCAGGATTTCCGTTCGGGGAGAGGAGTGCGGCAGGAATTTTTTTTTTGAATAAAGGTGCGTGACATTAATTACGCACTCCGAAAATTTTCTTGGGATACTTCTCAAAATTTTTCATAATCGTCCCTACAAGAATAAACAAGGCACTTGCGCATTTCATGACACATGTGTCATGAAACATGCATGTAAGTGAATCTCAAAGATTTAGCGCCCCCTTCTCGAGGGGGGGGGGGAGGGGTGCCCTACCGCCTCTCCCCCTCGGTCCGCCAATGTATGTTACGTATATTACTGTTTATATTACTATTCATCTCCACAAACGCAGTGCACACATTTCGAAGCTTTCAAAGATTTGATATTAGAGGAAACCTACCAATCTGAAGACAGATCTTGATCCTATTTTGTTATATTCAACAGTCTCCCCTTCCTCTCCTCCCTTCCCTTCCGGTTCGGGATATGCAAAGCTTCGTCGCGCGACACCCTGTCGTATGTCATTGTGCAGTCTCACAGCGCCATAAGTATCGTCATCTTTTTCTGGACATTCTGCTGGAATATGCATTATTTTAAAGTAACTCGGTAATTTTTTGCGTTATCTTCAAGTTCCTACTTGTTGAACTGGACGCTGGTCGAGTTGTTGCTGAAGTGCTTGAAGGCTTAGTTGTGAGGCTAGTTGCAGCAGTGGTGGTTTCTAAACATCATGTCGTTCTTTCATTTAGAATTGATTTGATCTACAAGTTATTACTTGCTAAATCCTCCACTGTGAGGCAAAGTCCAAGTGTAGGGCTTCCCTCCTCGGTGTCACACTGAGACTTCGGCACTACGGCCTTGCAGGTTCTGTGATCAGTACAACCTTTCGTTGTGCTATCTCCAATATATAGAGGTTCGTTGAGTTGCGGTCTGAAACGTTGAAAAAATTAGTTTCCGGAGCTGCCAGTAACGTTTAAAGAATACCCACATTTCGCCGTACACACAAGCAATGGCAATCTTATTTTCAGAATTTTTACATATTTTGTGCGCACATCCCACTTTTAGGTTTTTGTAGTAGACCATCTGGAATATAGCAATTCAAGGAAGGCATCATTGAGTAAAACATTCAAACATGGGCGGAAGATGAACTACGGTTGGAACGTATGCAGACTATATCTCCTGTAGCATGATATCCAGCCGGAGGAGTATCAATATGAATAAAGTTAGTGCAAATTGTCACATATAATATTCAATGTAAACACTCGCTAGACTACGAAACATTCAGTTTTTGCCTCAAAAGCTTTTTCTTAAACAGTATCGGCACTATAGCGCTCCAAATGACATAGCATGTCACACGTCTATATAGGCAACGCAATAGCATTGAAGGCGATGGATGTATAGCATTTCAAATGAGCACAACTCCTGAGATAACCTGGTCATAGTAGGTAAGCCTTTTGAGTTAATTAAAACAGTGCTTAAGTCATAAAGGTTTGAATGGAAACCTCATGCATTTCTCGTATATTACTAACAAGAGAAAAAAAGTCCGTAGCTACGTGCATATAGACATTCTTTTTGCAACATGTGGATTTTAATTAGCTGAAGCAGGCTTGACTAATTCAAGGGTGTAGATGCGCGAGATTCCACAGTAGGGTTTTAAAGTGTGTGTTCCTAAAAACCCTTTGAAGGGCAGATGCGGTTCTGATGGCTACATTGAATGTGTCATGCAAGCTCAGCTGTAAAGCTCAGAGTGGGCTCTCATAGTAAATGCAGGAAGCTATAGGTTCTGGAAAAGCCAGCATCATGCTGGGACTGAAATTGCTTTGCAAATGTGGAAGATCGGAGGGGGGGGGAGGGTCAAAACCAAGTCAGAGTTAGAGCGAGAGCGATAATTTTTGCTCTGAAACTGAGATCGCTCTGCAAATCATTTCCTGGCACCAATCCTCTTACCCTGTTCCCAAAAAGCGCCAAAAAGAAAAACAGATTAACTTTTTATTGTTGACTAAGTCAGTCAGAAGGGTTTTTAATCGAGCAAAGTGCTTGGGTTCCCCTGACTATGCAAGAACCCCACAGGCTACGTCGTTGAAAGAAGGTAAGTTGCAAAATTTATAAACAACTAGCTGGCTTGCCCGGCTCCGCCGGGCCTGCCAGCTAGACCCGTGTACGTATGTTCCGAATAGAATTTTTTATTTCTGAACCGATTGGGACCGAACTTTGCACATGTCACAGCCCACTTTTCGTTATCGATCGATGTCGATTTTACCGATTTTTTGCAAAATTTGAGCTAGGGGGCTAGGATTTTGCACAGGGGGGTAATCGAGCATGCTGATCACCCCCTTCGGGGTGATCAGCATGCTCGATTACCCCCCTCTGTCAAATCCCAGCCCTCTAGCTCGAATTTTGCAAAAAATCAATAAAATCGATATCGATCGATAACGAAAAGTAGCCTATGACACGCTCCCTGCCCCGAAGTATATGTGTGCCAAGTTTGGTCCCGATCGGATCAGAAATAAAAATTTCTATTCCGCACATACGTACAGACAGACAGACAGACAGACAGACATACAGACAGACAGACATTCAGCTTTATATATAAGATAAACTTTTATCTTCTGCGTCTCCACATCTCACAAGACCAGATCAAGATGGTGAGCTAACAAGGGAATGGTCAGAAGTCGAAGTGATCAAACCAAATAAGCTGTATATCATTCGATGCAGTATAAAACGCTGACTTCGAATCTGTCTTCTTTATCTGCTTCCCGCTTCTATGAACTAAGCTACAAGCGGTTTTATTATGAAAAAATCGTGCATAAAAACAGCGAAATTGAGCGCATTGTTTCACTTTTAGTTCAGCTTCTGGCTTTAAAAATTTGAAGTAAGCTAGCTGCATGTTTTCGCCCGATATTAAAGGCAGTGGGTGGAGGACATTAGGTCGCCGAGTTTGGAAGAGTCCCGCGCGGATTCCCTGCAGGAACGCATGTCCGCGTATGTACAAGGGTGCGTATTTGTCGCAAATGACCGCGGGGACCGCCCTTTTTCGGCGACCTAATGTCCTCCACCCAAAGGCAGTGTCCGGGCAAAAACTCGATTTTGAGATTTTGTGCTTACTTGGGCCTATTCGCCATGCTGAATCCGAAAATGCACATTATAGAGCGCGAAAATGGCGGAAAACTGCTCTAACACAGGAGGGAAATGAGCAGGTGGGCGGGGTCCTCCCCAATGCGAACTCACGTTCCCGGCTTCCGGAGCGACCTTCTCGCTTCCGGTTTCAAGTCAATCATTCGCACTTGGTCGATAGCGAGGTTAGAACGGCCTGCGGAATCAAGAAAATCGCTCCGGGAGCTGGGAGTGTGAAATCGCATTGGGGAAAGCCCCGCCCACCTGCTGATTTCCCTCCTGTGTTAGAGCCCTTTTTCGCCGTTTTCGCGCTTTCCAATGTGGATTTTCGGATTCAGCATGGCGAATAGGCCCGTATAAGCACAAAATCTCAAAATCGAGTTTTTGCCCGGACACTGCCTTTAAGGCGAACGTGGCTCTGTACGGCTAAATTTTCAATTTCACTCATAATCTCTTAGCAAAATAATGGTATTTAATGGCTTCTAGTTTTGTCCAGAAAAGCGATAAGCAGGTAAGGAAGACAGATTTAGAATCACCTCTTCATGCTGCATCTAATGGTATGCAGCTTCTCTGGATTGGCCACTTCGATTTCTGACCATTCCCTTGTAAGCTCGAATGATCAAAGTAGGATCCAAAGGACACATGCAATGAAAACACCAAAGTTATACCTGTGCAATTATTATAATAGCGGCAATAAAACATTCGAAAATCTGAACCTACATCCGCAGTATAATGTACTCAACCCGCTTTGGCTAAAACCCTCCCACCATTTCTGATATCGTGAGCTCAAAAGCCATCCCGCGCAGACTTCAGTCCCAACCGCTGTCTGTTAAGAGAGTTATGGCATCTCAAATATCTCACTTTTGTCAAACTTCCTGCGCTACAATACGATGTGAAAGTGGCAGCTTAGAGGCGCGTACAGGTTTTAAGAAGCAATAAACTCCTCATCACGACTGCTTTTTCCTCGCAATGTCATGCTGTGACGTATTTTGATGAAGAAGGGGTTAGCTGCTACAAGGTAGAAAAAAATTTTTGAAGCATAATATCATGTCTGGATCAAGTCCAAAGATGACATTGATTTCACTGCTACTGAAACACCACACTTGATGACTAGTAGGAAATAGTCAGAAATTAATCCATTCCAAACAAACTATACATCATCGGACTCGTTTTAAAACGTTGACTCCATATGAATGTTTATTATCTCTTAAGCGACTATCTGGACGGGATTATGAGCGTTCAAATACGAAAAATTATTCGAGTTTCAACGAGTATAATTCGTCGAAAGGCAGCCTGATGGCGCGGATTTACAGTGGCTATGGGCATTCTTATTACGAAGAGGAGGCTCGTTCACCAAAACCTGAGTAAGTGTTTTGAAACATAGTTCGTAAAAATGTGTTACAGAACACTCGACAAGTAGCACATTCAAACACCAATAACGCCGTCCAGATACTCGCATATATTTAGAATCAGAGTTTCAAGGCGAGTCCGTCGATATATAGCTTGTTTGGTAAGGATGGTTAAAGGCAGCGGCTCGGCAGGTTTGCAACTTCGGGGTTTTGGCAGATTTGGGGCTACTACAGCCCCCTGAACCACGACATGAACTCCCCTTAGCGCGAAAATGAAGAAAACCCCGTCTTTTGAAACCCCCCTTGAGACGGGCGCGGACGAGTGAGCCGTTTTTCTCTGCCGTCAGAGACGCAAAGTAAGGAGGTAGAGAGCGCTAGAACAATTCTGCCCTACGAAGCTACGAGTGACGGCGCGTTTTCTAGCGGCGAACATATTCGTCCGCACAAGATGTTATGGGAGCGAAAGGAGGAAGGGGAGCGGAGCTTGATTCGCCCCCCTGGCTTGCAGAATTCACATTTTCGGCCCGGAGTTGCTCTTTTGGTTCACTTGGAGGGCCTCCTATCCATCTATGTTAAATTCTGAGGTAGGTCTATTCTGCCGAGCCGCTGCCTTTAAGTTCTGACCATTTCCTGCTTACAAGGGAATGGTCAGAAGTCGAAGTGGCCAATCCATACAAGCTGCATACCAATCGATGCAGCATAGAATGCTGACTTCAAATGTGTCTTCCGTATCTGCAGAGCGCCTTTGTGGGCGAAGTTATGACCAGCTTTACTAAAGAAAAATCGTCCTCAAAAACTGCCAAATTAGGCAGATCACTGCTCTTTTAGCTCACCTTTAGGTACGAGCCATATGAACTGACCTAGTTACACGTTTTGGTCCAACACTGAGCCGAGAATGGCTTTGTACGGCCAAGTTTGACCTTTACACGCACAATTTCTTAGCAAAATGATGACATTTAACGGCTCATAACTTCGTACAAAAGCGCTCTGCAGATAAGGAAAACAGATCTGAAATCAGCATTCTATGCTGCATCGAAAGGTATGCAGCTTGCTTGAATTGGCCACTTCGATTTCTGACCATTTCCTTGTTAGCTTACGTTTTGTGCACAGCACTGCTTGGTAATTGTAGAAATGATGTCAATTTTCTTTGAGGTACCTACATTTGCGAAAGGTTTTGCACTTTCTAATCTGTAAATAGCATCGCGTGGTAAATCAGCTGTATCACGCCATTCCCCAATGGCGTCCTGATATCCGTGCTTTAATCCTTCTTCTTCTGTATTTATCACTCGTAACCTGAACAACCAAATACGAATATTCTACAATCTCATCTGTTGAACTAACGTCATGGAATTGATGGCCTTGTGCCAGACGTTCCCTATTTCTTTATTGACTTTGCAGTCATCTTCGTTGATAGCTATAGCTGCAAGGTTTGCATTTCCCGAATCGTAACACTGAAATTGCTTCTTATTATATACACATTTCTTACTGGAGTAGTACTTGTTCAAAAGGGCACTTTTAAAAATACAGAGCCTTTGGAGGCTACAAAGCCAGAGTTAATGCTTTTCTAGTTTTGTTCGCTAAACCAACTAGTAGCTTTTGCAATTCACAGCCTTAAATCTAATAACGCAAAGTATCAATCAAGCTCGTATAAACAAGGGATATAACTTCACCATATACCGACAACAATGCGAACTTGGTTTCTTTCAGAGTTGTCTGTCACGGGCACTGAGACAGTGCCGAAAACAAATCACTGGAGGCCCCAATGGAAGCTGATGAACACAAGGTGGAGGGACACCAGAGCCCTGACCTTCTTTTTTACCTGAACTGCTTCAAAATATCGTTCAAAAACATTTTCTTACTTTCAACAACTACAAAACCGACAAGATAAACATTTAAAGGTGATCCAAGTAGCATTCGTTGCAATTTCTTATCCTCTTTCTGATATTTATGTTATAAAGTTAAGACTCTTATGCTATCTATCCAAAGAAAGTACTAGGGTTTTTAGCTGGTCACCGCCAATACGTCGAAGTTCAACTATTTTTTTATCGTTTGATCAGATCCAGCGAAGAATCTCCAGGCAATTGGTCAATCAATTTTGAGTTTTCAAAAGTATTACTAAAAAATCAGTCTCTCAACACTATTCTAACACATCATAGCATCCAGCACCTCAAAAACTACATTTGCAACAAAAACTCAGTAACATGTATGAGAGTTTAGCAATAATCAAACAAAAAAAGTCAAACTAGAAAGGTTGTGAACTGAAGTGAAGTTAACTAGTGGTAGTTCATTGTTGAATGATAGTGAAAATAAGGTTCCATGAAATTTGAAATATGATAAAAACAACTTATTAAAAGATTCTTGTTTCATAAATCTTCATCTATCCAGTTGTAGCTTGAGCTCCTTTTGCGCTGCAGATATAACTTTCTAGAAAAAATACGAGATACCATGGCAATGACCATGATTGGTAGAATTAATTCTATAGCTCTCAAAATGAACTGCAAGGAAGCAGAATCTCTGAAGGATTACGGAGTGCTGCTTCGAACGCGATCATATCAATGCGAAAAATCTTTGTTCTGCGAACTGTGGCGCTCGTTTGAAGAAAATGAAAGTACTTTGGGAGCGATGTGATATGTTTTTCGAGCATCTTTCCGCATTTATTCCCTCTTAACCCTTATTATTTCCCTTCTTTAAAAATTGGTATCAGAGCATTTTTTGAAAAGATGAAAAAAACTCAGGTGCGAGCACATGAAATATATTTTCTCTTGCTCTCAGAATGCTGGATGTAGGATTTGCAATCACAACTGCGACGTTCGATGCAAGCAGAAAAATCGACAACTTATCATAGAAATCAACAAAATTGCTTCAAAACCTTTTCGCAAACGCAAATTTCATAATTTTAGAATCCTCTCTCATAACATAGAAATCCAAAAAAACCTGGTTGCTAGACTGGTCCTCCCCATGTATGGGTATAATTTTGTTTCGATAGAAACCAGTCGAAAGATTTTGCCACATTTTTGAGGTTAATGCAAGTGGTGAGATGGCGACAAGAGAGCTTACACGTCGAGAGCGGCGAGAGAATAATATTTTACGGGATCAAAATTTCGCTTCAAAATTCGAAAGCTGTGCTGGTGAATGAAACTCAGCTACGAAATTATGCAGTTATCGTTTCGCACATACATCTCATTACACTGTTTAGCCAAGTTTATTCTAGTTTACGTTAAGAGTAAGTGAGCATGCTGAGTACAAATATGATAAGCTGTTGCAAGTACACACCACTTTTATTGATTTTACCGATTTCCGCAGACTCTGAGTTGCCTGGTGTTGGGATCTGACTTGATATAGGGGGATAAATGAAAATGCTGATTACAAATGTAGTAACTCTGTTAGATGCTTATCTTTTTTCTGGAGTTTAAAGTTGCACACGGCAGATGATCATTTGAGGGAGTTACCTCACATTTTCGAAATTTTGAGAAATTCTACGAAATTCTTTTGAGAGCAGTGTGTTGTTACCCTAACTTTTCTTTCAAAAAAGTAGTTGAGTGTGCAAATCTGGTTTTGTTGGAGGAAAAACCTCAACGAGTGCAGGGTAGAGGAATGTTCAAGAAAACTGTCTCTTGTGTGTCGCGCAAATCTCAAGGAATTTTCCGGAAAATCCTCTTGTACGTGCAATTAAGCTACTGAAGTCTCATCTTTCCCTTGCAGACGTAATCGTATGATAGAGCCCGATTCGGCTGGAAAGTAGCTTATATGTACACCAGGGGCGATCGCAGGATTTCCGTTCGGGGAAAGGAGTGCGGCAGGAATTTTTTAAAGTGAAGGTGCGTGACATTAACCACGCACTCGAAAATTTTTTGGGGTACTTTTCAAGGTTTTTCATAATCGTTCTTACAAGAATTAACACAAAGCACTTGCAAATTTCATAACTCATTTAAGTAAATCTCAAAGATTTCGCGAACCATTCTCGGGAGGAGGGGGGGGGGGAGAAGGGGCGCCCTACCGCCTCTCCCCCTCGGTCCGCCACTGTATGTTACGTATATTACTGTTTATATAAGCTCCTGCAAGACGAAGGCGGTCGGTTCGATGTGTGACGTGGTTGTGACGCCGCTGTGACGCGACTGTGACGCAGCTCTGTCGCAGCCGCGTTGCACATCGAACCGACCGCCTTCGTCTTGCAGGAGCTTATATTACTATTCATCTCCACAAACGCAGTGCACACTTTTCGAAGCTTTCAAAGATTTGATATTAGGGAAACCTACCAATCTAAACATAGATCTTGATCCTATTTTGTTATATTCAGCAGTCTCCCCTTCCTCTTCTCCCTTTCCTTCCATTTCGGGATATGCAAAGCTTCGTCGCGCAACACCTTGTCGTATGTCATTGTGCAGTCTCACAGCGCCGTAAGTATCGTCATTTTTTTCCGGACATTCTGCTGGAATGTGCATTATTTTAAAGTAGCTCGGTAAATTTGTTATCTTCAAGTTCCTACTGGTTGAGCTGGACGCTGGTCGAGTTGCTGTTGAAGTGCTTAAAGGTTTAGTTGTGAAGCTAGTTGCAGCAGTGGTGGTTTCTGAATTACGTGGTCCTTTTTATTTAAAAGTGATTTGATTTACAAGTTATTACCTACTGAATCCTCCACTGCAAGGCAAAGTCCAAATGTAGGGCTTCCCTCCTCAGTGTCACACTGAGACTTCCGCACTACGGCCTTGCAGGTTTTGTGATCGGTACAACCTTTCGTTGTGCTATCTCCAATATATAGAGGTTCGTTGAGTTGCGGTCTGAAACTTTAAAAAACTAGTTTCCGGAGCTGCCAGTAACTTCAAAGAATACCCACATTTCGCCGTACACACAAGCAATGGCAATCTTATTTTCAGAATTTTTACATATTTTGTGCGCACACCCCATTTTTAGGTTTTTGTAGTAGACCATCTGAAATATGGCAGCTTACGGAGAAAACTGAGTAAAACAACCAAACATGAGCAGAGGAGGGCTATTTAGAAGGCATTGTTGGGTCTTCATCTCCTGTAGCATGGAATCTAACCGTAAGAAAAATGTGGAACGGGGAATATAAAAGAGGGGGGGGGGGGTCAAAACCTAGGCTAGGTTAGAGCAAGGGACGATACTTTTTGCTCTAAAACTGAAATCTCCCTGTAAATCATTTCCTAAGACTAATCCTCTTTCCCTTTTCTCAAAAGGCGCCAAAAAGAAACGAAGTCATCTCTTCATTGTTGATTAAGTCAATCAATACATTTTTTATTGAGCAAAATATTAGGTTTCTCTGTCCATAGAAGAACCCATATGCTACGTCATTGTTGAGGAAAGTAAGTTGCAAGATCCAAACAAAGCATTTTTATCTTCTGCGTCTCCACATCACGAGGCCAGATCAACGTTATGCGCAGGAGCGGATGATCACATTAGGTTCTGTAAGATTTACGTAAAGTAACAACAGTAATACAGATTCGAGGATCAGAATCCGCGCAAAATCAGAATCTATATTACTGTTGTTACTTTACGTAAATCTTACAGAACCTAATGTGATCATCCAGTCCTGCGCATAACCGGATGATCACATTAGGTTCTGTAAGATTTACGTAAAGTAACAACAGTAATACAGATTCGAGGATCAGAATCCGCGCAACAGTATAATGTGCTCAACTGCTCAACCCGCTTTGGTTAAAACCCTCCCGCCCCCTTCCCCCCCCCCCCCCCCCCCCCCCCCACTTCTACCGTGAGCTCAAAAATCATCCCGAGCAGAGCTCAGTCCCAAACGCTCATTTGCTGATGGACTCATGGCTCTTCACATATCTCATTTTGTCAGACTTCCTGCGCTACAATATGGTCCAGGAGTCGGCACGAGGTGGCTAGATGAAAATGGAAAAAACGAAGTCCCCCTTGACTTTTGGGAATTTTTACGAAGTTCCCTTTGACCCTCAACCATCCTCTAAAAACCTGAAAAATTCCCAAAATCCCTCAAAAAACGAAACGTCGACTAAAAAAACGTCGCCAAGTCGCCAATTTTGCGTCTCTCTTCGGTCACAAAAACGAAACCCCCTTTGCTTTTCGTCCCAAAAACTATATCCAGCTTGCTTGTAAGCCACCTGTGCCGAGCCCTGATTGGTCGTGTGTAGTGAAACCTTAGTGCGCGTAGGTTTTGAAAAGTGAAAACCTCCTCATCACCAACTGATTTTTCCTTGCAATGCCACGCTGTGACGTATTTCAAATAAGGATTGGTTAGCTGCTACAAGGTGAAAAAAATTTGTGAAGCATAGTATCACGTCTGAATCAAGTCCAAGGATGACATTGATCTCGCTGCTATTAAAACATCACACTTGGTGACGAGAGCTTTAGCTTAGTTTATGTTGCCTTGTGCACATTACCGTTCGATAATTTTAGGAATAATTCAGTTTTTTTTTGCAGTACCTACATTTGCAAAAGGTTGTGCACTTTTTAATTTGAAAGTAGCATCGCTAAGTGGTAAATCAGCTGTGTCAAGCCATTTCTCAATTGCGTCATGATATCCGTACTTCAGTCCTCCTTCTTCTGTATTTATCACTCGTAACCTAAACAACCAAATACGAATATTCTGCAGTCTCATCTGTTGAACTAACGTCATTGAATTGATGGCCTTGTGCCAAACGTTCCCTAGTTCTTCATTGACTTTACAGTCATCTTCGTTAATAGCTGCAGCTGCTAAATTTGCATTTTGCGAATCGTAGCACTGAAATTGCTTTTTATTAGATTTGTGTTGCTTATTTAGAGTAGTTTTTGTTCGAAGGAAATTAAAAAATTCAGATTCTGCAGGGTACAAAGCCAGAGTTCAAGCTTTTCTAGCTTTACTCAGTAAGCCGGCATGTGGCTTTTGCTGTCAACACTCACAATCACCTTATAAAGCTGAATGTCTGTTTGTCTATCTGTATGTCTGTACGCATGTTCGGAATAGAAAGTTCTATTTCTGAACCGATCCGGACTTGGCGCACATACACTCGGGGCAGGGTCGGTGTCGTAGGCTACTTTTCGCTATTGATCGACACGATTTTATCGATTTCTGGCGATTTTTGTAAAGCTTAACCCGCGGGCTGGAGTTGGCACAGAGAGTTGGCACAGGGGGGGAGGGGGGGGGGGGGGGGGGAGTAAGTGAGCGTGCCGATTACTAACACAGCGGGATTATGGACTTGGCAGTGGGCACGGCTAAAAGGTTGTACAGGGATGGGATCTTTATTAAAGTGTGTTTACGGACCGAACGGAACCGGGTAAGGTAACTAATTAATTATTAGGGTGATCGGTAAAAAATGGGGCAGCTTGATTTTTATCAGATTTTGAGATTTTTTGTTCACACCAACAATAAGCAGGCTGCAATCCAAACGTCGCTTACATAAACCGACCTTCGCCTATTATTTTGGTAGCGCGTTACCGCTCCTCTCCCATAACCGTACGCGTGGCGCCATGAAAAACTCAAACAGCGTTTTTTGAACATTTCTCAATCTTGCGCTCCTTACAGTAAGGTCGTAAAGCAAATGACAATCATTTGAAAGAGCATATGCTCTTTCATGAATTGTTAAGCACATGAAATTTGATTGAATCAAAGGAAAAAAAGCGAAAAACCCTGAAAAATAGCTATTTTTAGCGCAATAAGAAACCAAAAAATCATGTTTCGCCCTATATTTTCCGAAGATAGATAAGATATGAGATAAGCTGCGAATGGATGGATAGAGCGTAAAAAGCTCTTTCACATGGTACCTATAGAACATGCGTTCACCCGCAAAGAATTTAATAACACGTATCTTTGTTCTCAAAGTTGGCAATGGCCATAACTCCTTCTCTGACAAGGGAAGTTCACTTAGTCGAAATGGCGATTTGGAAGGAGATCTAAATCAGTAGATAGAGCTTAAAAAGATGATCACAGATATACTTCCTATATCTGCAATGCATCGTTCTGAAAAAAGTTATGAGCTTTTCTAAAGCCAAATTTTCGTGCATTTTGAGTCGCAAAATCATGATAATAATTACACAAAAGTGTGCAAGCTCAAGCAAACCACCTAATAAGCATTGTAGGTCTAATTCGAGTTCATCCGAACGCTAGCGAATGTTTTTCGACCATGTTGTTCATCCACAGGTCGTCATTTCATTCCTAGATCATATTATGTTGACGCAAAAAGCTCTTTCGCACCAAATTCAAAAATTCATAACTTGTTGAATTCCTTCCTCTCCTCCCTTCCCTTCCGGTTCGGGATATGCAAAGCTTCGTCGCGCGACACCCTGTCGTATGTCATTGTGCAGTCTCACAGCGCCATAAGTATCGTCATCTTTTTCTGGACATTCTGCTGGAATATGCATTATTTTAAAGTAACTCGGTAATTTTTTGCGTTATCTTCAAGTTCCTACTTGTTGAACTGGACGCTGGTCGAGTTGTTGCTGAAGTGCTTGAAGGCTTAGTTGTGAGGCTAGTTGCAGCAGTGGTGGTTTCTAAACATCATGTCGTTCTTTCATTTAGAATTGATTTGATCTACAAGTTATTACTTGCTAAATCCTCCACTGTGAGGCAAAGTCCAAGTGTAGGGCTTCCCTCCTCGGTGTCACACTGAGACTTCGGCACTACGGCCTTGCAGGTTCTGTGATCAGTACAACCTTTCGTTGTGCTATCTCCAATATATAGAGGTTCGTTGAGTTGCGGTCTGAAACGTTGAAAAAATTAGTTTCCGGAGCTGCCAGTAACGTTTAAAGAATACCCACATTTCGCCGTACACACAAGCAATGGCAATCTTATTTTCAGAATTTTTACATATTTTGTGCGCACATCCCACTTTTAGGTTTTTGTAGTAGACCATCTGGAATATAGCAATTCAAGGAAGGCATCATTGAGTAAAACATTCAAACATGGGCGGAAGATGAACTACGGTTGGAACGTATGCAGACTATATCTCCTGTAGCATGATATCCAGCCGGAGGAGTATCAATATGAATAAAGTTAGTGCAAATTGTCACATATAATATTCAATGTAAACACTCGCTAGACTACGAAACATTCAGTTTTTGCCTCAAAAGCTTTTTCTTAAACAGTATCGGCACTATAGCGCTCCAAATGACATAGCATGTCACACGTCTATATAGGCAACGCAATAGCATTGAAGGCGATGGATGTATAGCATTTCAAATGAGCACAACTCCTGAGATAACCTGGTCATAGTAGGTAAGCCTTTTGAGTTAATTAAAACAGTGCTTAAGTCATAAAGGTTTGAATGGAAACCTCATGCATTTCTCGTATATTACTAACAAGAGAAAAAAAGTCCGTAGCTACGTGCATATAGACATTCTTTTTGCAACATGTGGATTTTAATTAGCTGAAGCAGGCTTGACTAATTCAAGGGTGTAGATGCGCGAGATTCCACAGTAGGGTTTTAAAGTGTGTGTTCCTAAAAACCCTTTGAAGGGCAGATGCGGTTCTGATGGCTACATTGAATGTGTCATGCAAGCTCAGCTGTAAAGCTCAGAGTGGGCTCTCATAGTAAATGCAGGAAGCTATAGGTTCTGGAAAAGCCAGCATCATGCTGGGACTGAAATTGCTTTGCAAATGTGGAAGATCGGAGGGGGGGGGGAGGGTCAAAACCAAGTCAGAGTTAGAGCGAGAGCGATAATTTTTGCTCTGAAACTGAGATCGCTCTGCAAATCATTTCCTGGCACCAATCCTCTTACCCTGTTCCCAAAAAGCGCCAAAAAGAAAAACAGATTAACTTTTTATTGTTGACTAAGTCAGTCAGAAGGGTTTTTAATCGAGCAAAGTGCTTGGGTTCCCCTGACTATGCAAGAACCCCACAGGCTACGTCGTTGAAAGAAGGTAAGTTGCAAAATTTATAAACAACTAGCTGGCTTGCCCGGCTCCGCCGGGCCTGCCAGCTAGACCCGTGTACGTATGTTCCGAATAGAATTTTTTATTTCTGAACCGATTGGGACCGAACTTTGCACATGTCACAGCCCACTTTTCGTTATCGATCGATGTCGATTTTACCGATTTTTTGCAAAATTTGAGCTAGGGGGCTAGGATTTTGCACAGGGGGGTAATCGAGCATGCTGATCACCCCCTTCGGGGTGATCAGCATGCTCGATTACCCCCCTCTGTCAAATCCCAGCCCTCTAGCTCGAATTTTGCAAAAAATCAATAAAATCGATATCGATCGATAACGAAAAGTAGCCTATGACACGCTCCCTGCCCCGAAGTATATGTGTGCCAAGTTTGGTCCCGATCGGATCAGAAATAAAAATTTCTATTCCGCACATACGTACAGACAGACAGACAGACAGACAGACATACAGACAGACAGACATTCAGCTTTATATATAAGATAAACTTTTATCTTCTGCGTCTCCACATCTCACAAGACCAGATCAAGATGGTGAGCTAACAAGGGAATGGTCAGAAGTCGAAGTGATCAAACCAAATAAGCTGTATATCATTCGATGCAGTATAAAACGCTGACTTCGAATCTGTCTTCTTTATCTGCTTCCCGCTTCTATGAACTAAGCTACAAGCGGTTTTATTATGAAAAAATCGTGCATAAAAACAGCGAAATTGAGCGCATTGTTTCACTTTTAGTTCAGCTTCTGGCTTTAAAAATTTGAAGTAAGCTAGCTGCATGTTTTCGCCCGATATTAAAGGCAGTGGGTGGAGGACATTAGGTCGCCGAGTTTGGAAGAGTCCCGCGCGGATTCCCTGCAGGAACGCATGTCCGCGTATGTACAAGGGTGCGTATTTGTCGCAAATGACCGCGGGGACCGCCCTTTTTCGGCGACCTAATGTCCTCCACCCAAAGGCAGTGTCCGGGCAAAAACTCGATTTTGAGATTTTGTGCTTACTTGGGCCTATTCGCCATGCTGAATCCGAAAATGCACATTATAGAGCGCGAAAATGGCGGAAAACTGCTCTAACACAGGAGGGAAATGAGCAGGTGGGCGGGGTCCTCCCCAATGCGAACTCACGTTCCCGGCTTCCGGAGCGACCTTCTCGCTTCCGGTTTCAAGTCAATCATTCGCACTTGGTCGATAGCGAGGTTAGAACGGCCTGCGGAATCAAGAAAATCGCTCCGGGAGCTGGGAGTGTGAAATCGCATTGGGGAAAGCCCCGCCCACCTGCTGATTTCCCTCCTGTGTTAGAGCCCTTTTTCGCCGTTTTCGCGCTTTCCAATGTGGATTTTCGGATTCAGCATGGCGAATAGGCCCGTATAAGCACAAAATCTCAAAATCGAGTTTTTGCCCGGACACTGCCTTTAAGGCGAACGTGGCTCTGTACGGCTAAATTTTCAATTTCACTCATAATCTCTTAGCAAAATAATGGTATTTAATGGCTTCTAGTTTTGTCCAGAAAAGCGATAAGCAGGTAAGGAAGACAGATTTAGAATCACCTCTTCATGCTGCATCTAATGGTATGCAGCTTCTCTGGATTGGCCACTTCGATTTCTGACCATTCCCTTGTAAGCTCGAATGATCAAAGTAGGATCCAAAGGACACATGCAATGAAAACACCAAAGTTATACCTGTGCAATTATTATAATAGCGGCAATAAAACATTCGAAAATCTGAACCTACATCCGCAGTATAATGTACTCAACCCGCTTTGGCTAAAACCCTCCCACCATTTCTGATATCGTGAGCTCAAAAGCCATCCCGCGCAGACTTCAGTCCCAACCGCTGTCTGTTAAGAGAGTTATGGCATCTCAAATATCTCACTTTTGTCAAACTTCCTGCGCTACAATACGATGTGAAAGTGGCAGCTTAGAGGCGCGTACAGGTTTTAAGAAGCAATAAACTCCTCATCACGACTGCTTTTTCCTCGCAATGTCATGCTGTGACGTATTTTGATGAAGAAGGGGTTAGCTGCTACAAGGTAGAAAAAAATTTTTGAAGCATAATATCATGTCTGGATCAAGTCCAAAGATGACATTGATTTCACTGCTACTGAAACACCACACTTGATGACTAGTAGGAAATAGTCAGAAATTAATCCATTCCAAACAAACTATACATCATCGGACTCGTTTTAAAACGTTGACTCCATATGAATGTTTATTATCTCTTAAGCGACTATCTGGACGGGATTATGAGCGTTCAAATACGAAAAATTATTCGAGTTTCAACGAGTATAATTCGTCGAAAGGCAGCCTGATGGCGCGGATTTACAGTGGCTATGGGCATTCTTATTACGAAGAGGAGGCTCGTTCACCAAAACCTGAGTAAGTGTTTTGAAACATAGTTCGTAAAAATGTGTTACAGAACACTCGACAAGTAGCACATTCAAACACCAATAACGCCGTCCAGATACTCGCATATATTTAGAATCAGAGTTTCAAGGCGAGTCCGTCGATATATAGCTTGTTTGGTAAGGATGGTTAAAGGCAGCGGCTCGGCAGGTTTGCAACTTCGGGGTTTTGGCAGATTTGGGGCTACTACAGCCCCCTGAACCACGACATGAACTCCCCTTAGCGCGAAAATGAAGAAAACCCCGTCTTTTGAAACCCCCCTTGAGACGGGCGCGGACGAGTGAGCCGTTTTTCTCTGCCGTCAGAGACGCAAAGTAAGGAGGTAGAGAGCGCTAGAACAATTCTGCCCTACGAAGCTACGAGTGACGGCGCGTTTTCTAGCGGCGAACATATTCGTCCGCACAAGATGTTATGGGAGCGAAAGGAGGAAGGGGAGCGGAGCTTGATTCGCCCCCCTGGCTTGCAGAATTCACATTTTCGGCCCGGAGTTGCTCTTTTGGTTCACTTGGAGGGCCTCCTATCCATCTATGTTAAATTCTGAGGTAGGTCTATTCTGCCGAGCCGCTGCCTTTAAGTTCTGACCATTTCCTGCTTACAAGGGAATGGTCAGAAGTCGAAGTGGCCAATCCATACAAGCTGCATACCAATCGATGCAGCATAGAATGCTGACTTCAAATGTGTCTTCCGTATCTGCAGAGCGCCTTTGTGGGCGAAGTTATGACCAGCTTTACTAAAGAAAAATCGTCCTCAAAAACTGCCAAATTAGGCAGATCACTGCTCTTTTAGCTCACCTTTAGGTACGAGCCATATGAACTGACCTAGTTACACGTTTTGGTCCAACACTGAGCCGAGAATGGCTTTGTACGGCCAAGTTTGACCTTTACACGCACAATTTCTTAGCAAAATGATGACATTTAACGGCTCATAACTTCGTACAAAAGCGCTCTGCAGATAAGGAAAACAGATCTGAAATCAGCATTCTATGCTGCATCGAAAGGTATGCAGCTTGCTTGAATTGGCCACTTCGATTTCTGACCATTTCCTTGTTAGCTTACGTTTTGTGCACAGCACTGCTTGGTAATTGTAGAAATGATGTCAATTTTCTTTGAGGTACCTACATTTGCGAAAGGTTTTGCACTTTCTAATCTGTAAATAGCATCGCGTGGTAAATCAGCTGTATCACGCCATTCCCCAATGGCGTCCTGATATCCGTGCTTTAATCCTTCTTCTTCTGTATTTATCACTCGTAACCTGAACAACCAAATACGAATATTCTACAATCTCATCTGTTGAACTAACGTCATGGAATTGATGGCCTTGTGCCAGACGTTCCCTATTTCTTTATTGACTTTGCAGTCATCTTCGTTGATAGCTATAGCTGCAAGGTTTGCATTTCCCGAATCGTAACACTGAAATTGCTTCTTATTATATACACATTTCTTACTGGAGTAGTACTTGTTCAAAAGGGCACTTTTAAAAATACAGAGCCTTTGGAGGCTACAAAGCCAGAGTTAATGCTTTTCTAGTTTTGTTCGCTAAACCAACTAGTAGCTTTTGCAATTCACAGCCTTAAATCTAATAACGCAAAGTATCAATCAAGCTCGTATAAACAAGGGATATAACTTCACCATATACCGACAACAATGCGAACTTGGTTTCTTTCAGAGTTGTCTGTCACGGGCACTGAGACAGTGCCGAAAACAAATCACTGGAGGCCCCAATGGAAGCTGATGAACACAAGGTGGAGGGACACCAGAGCCCTGACCTTCTTTTTTACCTGAACTGCTTCAAAATATCGTTCAAAAACATTTTCTTACTTTCAACAACTACAAAACCGACAAGATAAACATTTAAAGGTGATCCAAGTAGCATTCGTTGCAATTTCTTATCCTCTTTCTGATATTTATGTTATAAAGTTAAGACTCTTATGCTATCTATCCAAAGAAAGTACTAGGGTTTTTAGCTGGTCACCGCCAATACGTCGAAGTTCAACTATTTTTTTATCGTTTGATCAGATCCAGCGAAGAATCTCCAGGCAATTGGTCAATCAATTTTGAGTTTTCAAAAGTATTACTAAAAAATCAGTCTCTCAACACTATTCTAACACATCATAGCATCCAGCACCTCAAAAACTACATTTGCAACAAAAACTCAGTAACATGTATGAGAGTTTAGCAATAATCAAACAAAAAAAGTCAAACTAGAAAGGTTGTGAACTGAAGTGAAGTTAACTAGTGGTAGTTCATTGTTGAATGATAGTGAAAATAAGGTTCCATGAAATTTGAAATATGATAAAAACAACTTATTAAAAGATTCTTGTTTCATAAATCTTCATCTATCCAGTTGTAGCTTGAGCTCCTTTTGCGCTGCAGATATAACTTTCTAGAAAAAATACGAGATACCATGGCAATGACCATGATTGGTAGAATTAATTCTATAGCTCTCAAAATGAACTGCAAGGAAGCAGAATCTCTGAAGGATTACGGAGTGCTGCTTCGAACGCGATCATATCAATGCGAAAAATCTTTGTTCTGCGAACTGTGGCGCTCGTTTGAAGAAAATGAAAGTACTTTGGGAGCGATGTGATATGTTTTTCGAGCATCTTTCCGCATTTATTCCCTCTTAACCCTTATTATTTCCCTTCTTTAAAAATTGGTATCAGAGCATTTTTTGAAAAGATGAAAAAAACTCAGGTGCGAGCACATGAAATATATTTTCTCTTGCTCTCAGAATGCTGGATGTAGGATTTGCAATCACAACTGCGACGTTCGATGCAAGCAGAAAAATCGACAACTTATCATAGAAATCAACAAAATTGCTTCAAAACCTTTTCGCAAACGCAAATTTCATAATTTTAGAATCCTCTCTCATAACATAGAAATCCAAAAAAACCTGGTTGCTAGACTGGTCCTCCCCATGTATGGGTATAATTTTGTTTCGATAGAAACCAGTCGAAAGATTTTGCCACATTTTTGAGGTTAATGCAAGTGGTGAGATGGCGACAAGAGAGCTTACACGTCGAGAGCGGCGAGAGAATAATATTTTACGGGATCAAAATTTCGCTTCAAAATTCGAAAGCTGTGCTGGTGAATGAAACTCAGCTACGAAATTATGCAGTTATCGTTTCGCACATACATCTCATTACACTGTTTAGCCAAGTTTATTCTAGTTTACGTTAAGAGTAAGTGAGCATGCTGAGTACAAATATGATAAGCTGTTGCAAGTACACACCACTTTTATTGATTTTACCGATTTCCGCAGACTCTGAGTTGCCTGGTGTTGGGATCTGACTTGATATAGGGGGATAAATGAAAATGCTGATTACAAATGTAGTAACTCTGTTAGATGCTTATCTTTTTTCTGGAGTTTAAAGTTGCACACGGCAGATGATCATTTGAGGGAGTTACCTCACATTTTCGAAATTTTGAGAAATTCTACGAAATTCTTTTGAGAGCAGTGTGTTGTTACCCTAACTTTTCTTTCAAAAAAGTAGTTGAGTGTGCAAATCTGGTTTTGTTGGAGGAAAAACCTCAACGAGTGCAGGGTAGAGGAATGTTCAAGAAAACTGTCTCTTGTGTGTCGCGCAAATCTCAAGGAATTTTCCGGAAAATCCTCTTGTACGTGCAATTAAGCTACTGAAGTCTCATCTTTCCCTTGCAGACGTAATCGTATGATAGAGCCCGATTCGGCTGGAAAGTAGCTTATATGTACACCAGGGGCGATCGCAGGATTTCCGTTCGGGGAAAGGAGTGCGGCAGGAATTTTTTAAAGTGAAGGTGCGTGACATTAACCACGCACTCGAAAATTTTTTGGGGTACTTTTCAAGGTTTTTCATAATCGTTCTTACAAGAATTAACACAAAGCACTTGCAAATTTCATAACTCATTTAAGTAAATCTCAAAGATTTCGCGAACCATTCTCGGGAGGAGGGGGGGGGGGAGAAGGGGCGCCCTACCGCCTCTCCCCCTCGGTCCGCCACTGTATGTTACGTATATTACTGTTTATATAAGCTCCTGCAAGACGAAGGCGGTCGGTTCGATGTGTGACGTGGTTGTGACGCCGCTGTGACGCGACTGTGACGCAGCTCTGTCGCAGCCGCGTTGCACATCGAACCGACCGCCTTCGTCTTGCAGGAGCTTATATTACTATTCATCTCCACAAACGCAGTGCACACTTTTCGAAGCTTTCAAAGATTTGATATTAGGGAAACCTACCAATCTAAACATAGATCTTGATCCTATTTTGTTATATTCAGCAGTCTCCCCTTCCTCTTCTCCCTTTCCTTCCATTTCGGGATATGCAAAGCTTCGTCGCGCAACACCTTGTCGTATGTCATTGTGCAGTCTCACAGCGCCGTAAGTATCGTCATTTTTTTCCGGACATTCTGCTGGAATGTGCATTATTTTAAAGTAGCTCGGTAAATTTGTTATCTTCAAGTTCCTACTGGTTGAGCTGGACGCTGGTCGAGTTGCTGTTGAAGTGCTTAAAGGTTTAGTTGTGAAGCTAGTTGCAGCAGTGGTGGTTTCTGAATTACGTGGTCCTTTTTATTTAAAAGTGATTTGATTTACAAGTTATTACCTACTGAATCCTCCACTGCAAGGCAAAGTCCAAATGTAGGGCTTCCCTCCTCAGTGTCACACTGAGACTTCCGCACTACGGCCTTGCAGGTTTTGTGATCGGTACAACCTTTCGTTGTGCTATCTCCAATATATAGAGGTTCGTTGAGTTGCGGTCTGAAACTTTAAAAAACTAGTTTCCGGAGCTGCCAGTAACTTCAAAGAATACCCACATTTCGCCGTACACACAAGCAATGGCAATCTTATTTTCAGAATTTTTACATATTTTGTGCGCACACCCCATTTTTAGGTTTTTGTAGTAGACCATCTGAAATATGGCAGCTTACGGAGAAAACTGAGTAAAACAACCAAACATGAGCAGAGGAGGGCTATTTAGAAGGCATTGTTGGGTCTTCATCTCCTGTAGCATGGAATCTAACCGTAAGAAAAATGTGGAACGGGGAATATAAAAGAGGGGGGGGGGGGTCAAAACCTAGGCTAGGTTAGAGCAAGGGACGATACTTTTTGCTCTAAAACTGAAATCTCCCTGTAAATCATTTCCTAAGACTAATCCTCTTTCCCTTTTCTCAAAAGGCGCCAAAAAGAAACGAAGTCATCTCTTCATTGTTGATTAAGTCAATCAATACATTTTTTATTGAGCAAAATATTAGGTTTCTCTGTCCATAGAAGAACCCATATGCTACGTCATTGTTGAGGAAAGTAAGTTGCAAGATCCAAACAAAGCATTTTTATCTTCTGCGTCTCCACATCACGAGGCCAGATCAACGTTATGCGCAGGAGCGGATGATCACATTAGGTTCTGTAAGATTTACGTAAAGTAACAACAGTAATACAGATTCGAGGATCAGAATCCGCGCAAAATCAGAATCTATATTACTGTTGTTACTTTACGTAAATCTTACAGAACCTAATGTGATCATCCAGTCCTGCGCATAACCGGATGATCACATTAGGTTCTGTAAGATTTACGTAAAGTAACAACAGTAATACAGATTCGAGGATCAGAATCCGCGCAACAGTATAATGTGCTCAACTGCTCAACCCGCTTTGGTTAAAACCCTCCCGCCCCCTTCCCCCCCCCCCCCCCCCCCCCCCCCACTTCTACCGTGAGCTCAAAAATCATCCCGAGCAGAGCTCAGTCCCAAACGCTCATTTGCTGATGGACTCATGGCTCTTCACATATCTCATTTTGTCAGACTTCCTGCGCTACAATATGGTCCAGGAGTCGGCACGAGGTGGCTAGATGAAAATGGAAAAAACGAAGTCCCCCTTGACTTTTGGGAATTTTTACGAAGTTCCCTTTGACCCTCAACCATCCTCTAAAAACCTGAAAAATTCCCAAAATCCCTCAAAAAACGAAACGTCGACTAAAAAAACGTCGCCAAGTCGCCAATTTTGCGTCTCTCTTCGGTCACAAAAACGAAACCCCCTTTGCTTTTCGTCCCAAAAACTATATCCAGCTTGCTTGTAAGCCACCTGTGCCGAGCCCTGATTGGTCGTGTGTAGTGAAACCTTAGTGCGCGTAGGTTTTGAAAAGTGAAAACCTCCTCATCACCAACTGATTTTTCCTTGCAATGCCACGCTGTGACGTATTTCAAATAAGGATTGGTTAGCTGCTACAAGGTGAAAAAAATTTGTGAAGCATAGTATCACGTCTGAATCAAGTCCAAGGATGACATTGATCTCGCTGCTATTAAAACATCACACTTGGTGACGAGAGCTTTAGCTTAGTTTATGTTGCCTTGTGCACATTACCGTTCGATAATTTTAGGAATAATTCAGTTTTTTTTTGCAGTACCTACATTTGCAAAAGGTTGTGCACTTTTTAATTTGAAAGTAGCATCGCTAAGTGGTAAATCAGCTGTGTCAAGCCATTTCTCAATTGCGTCATGATATCCGTACTTCAGTCCTCCTTCTTCTGTATTTATCACTCGTAACCTAAACAACCAAATACGAATATTCTGCAGTCTCATCTGTTGAACTAACGTCATTGAATTGATGGCCTTGTGCCAAACGTTCCCTAGTTCTTCATTGACTTTACAGTCATCTTCGTTAATAGCTGCAGCTGCTAAATTTGCATTTTGCGAATCGTAGCACTGAAATTGCTTTTTATTAGATTTGTGTTGCTTATTTAGAGTAGTTTTTGTTCGAAGGAAATTAAAAAATTCAGATTCTGCAGGGTACAAAGCCAGAGTTCAAGCTTTTCTAGCTTTACTCAGTAAGCCGGCATGTGGCTTTTGCTGTCAACACTCACAATCACCTTATAAAGCTGAATGTCTGTTTGTCTATCTGTATGTCTGTACGCATGTTCGGAATAGAAAGTTCTATTTCTGAACCGATCCGGACTTGGCGCACATACACTCGGGGCAGGGTCGGTGTCGTAGGCTACTTTTCGCTATTGATCGACACGATTTTATCGATTTCTGGCGATTTTTGTAAAGCTTAACCCGCGGGCTGGAGTTGGCACAGAGAGTTGGCACAGGGGGGGAGGGGGGGGGGGGGGGGGGAGTAAGTGAGCGTGCCGATTACTAACACAGCGGGATTATGGACTTGGCAGTGGGCACGGCTAAAAGGTTGTACAGGGATGGGATCTTTATTAAAGTGTGTTTACGGACCGAACGGAACCGGGTAAGGTAACTAATTAATTATTAGGGTGATCGGTAAAAAATGGGGCAGCTTGATTTTTATCAGATTTTGAGATTTTTTGTTCACACCAACAATAAGCAGGCTGCAATCCAAACGTCGCTTACATAAACCGACCTTCGCCTATTATTTTGGTAGCGCGTTACCGCTCCTCTCCCATAACCGTACGCGTGGCGCCATGAAAAACTCAAACAGCGTTTTTTGAACATTTCTCAATCTTGCGCTCCTTACAGTAAGGTCGTAAAGCAAATGACAATCATTTGAAAGAGCATATGCTCTTTCATGAATTGTTAAGCACATGAAATTTGATTGAATCAAAGGAAAAAAAGCGAAAAACCCTGAAAAATAGCTATTTTTAGCGCAATAAGAAACCAAAAAATCATGTTTCGCCCTATATTTTCCGAAGATAGATAAGATATGAGATAAGCTGCGAATGGATGGATAGAGCGTAAAAAGCTCTTTCACATGGTACCTATAGAACATGCGTTCACCCGCAAAGAATTTAATAACACGTATCTTTGTTCTCAAAGTTGGCAATGGCCATAACTCCTTCTCTGACAAGGGAAGTTCACTTAGTCGAAATGGCGATTTGGAAGGAGATCTAAATCAGTAGATAGAGCTTAAAAAGATGATCACAGATATACTTCCTATATCTGCAATGCATCGTTCTGAAAAAAGTTATGAGCTTTTCTAAAGCCAAATTTTCGTGCATTTTGAGTCGCAAAATCATGATAATAATTACACAAAAGTGTGCAAGCTCAAGCAAACCACCTAATAAGCATTGTAGGTCTAATTCGAGTTCATCCGAACGCTAGCGAATGTTTTTCGACCATGTTGTTCATCCACAGGTCGTCATTTCATTCCTAGATCATATTATGTTGACGCAAAAAGCTCTTTCGCACCAAATTCAAAAATTCATAACTTGTTGAATTCCTTCCTCTCCTCCCTTCCCTTCCGGTTCGGGATATGCAAAGCTTCGTCGCGCGACACCCTGTCGTATGTCATTGTGCAGTCTCACAGCGCCATAAGTATCGTCATCTTTTTCTGGACATTCTGCTGGAATATGCATTATTTTAAAGTAACTCGGTAATTTTTTGCGTTATCTTCAAGTTCCTACTTGTTGAACTGGACGCTGGTCGAGTTGTTGCTGAAGTGCTTGAAGGCTTAGTTGTGAGGCTAGTTGCAGCAGTGGTGGTTTCTAAACATCATGTCGTTCTTTCATTTAGAATTGATTTGATCTACAAGTTATTACTTGCTAAATCCTCCACTGTGAGGCAAAGTCCAAGTGTAGGGCTTCCCTCCTCGGTGTCACACTGAGACTTCGGCACTACGGCCTTGCAGGTTCTGTGATCAGTACAACCTTTCGTTGTGCTATCTCCAATATATAGAGGTTCGTTGAGTTGCGGTCTGAAACGTTGAAAAAATTAGTTTCCGGAGCTGCCAGTAACGTTTAAAGAATACCCACATTTCGCCGTACACACAAGCAATGGCAATCTTATTTTCAGAATTTTTACATATTTTGTGCGCACATCCCACTTTTAGGTTTTTGTAGTAGACCATCTGGAATATAGCAATTCAAGGAAGGCATCATTGAGTAAAACATTCAAACATGGGCGGAAGATGAACTACGGTTGGAACGTATGCAGACTATATCTCCTGTAGCATGATATCCAGCCGGAGGAGTATCAATATGAATAAAGTTAGTGCAAATTGTCACATATAATATTCAATGTAAACACTCGCTAGACTACGAAACATTCAGTTTTTGCCTCAAAAGCTTTTTCTTAAACAGTATCGGCACTATAGCGCTCCAAATGACATAGCATGTCACACGTCTATATAGGCAACGCAATAGCATTGAAGGCGATGGATGTATAGCATTTCAAATGAGCACAACTCCTGAGATAACCTGGTCATAGTAGGTAAGCCTTTTGAGTTAATTAAAACAGTGCTTAAGTCATAAAGGTTTGAATGGAAACCTCATGCATTTCTCGTATATTACTAACAAGAGAAAAAAAGTCCGTAGCTACGTGCATATAGACATTCTTTTTGCAACATGTGGATTTTAATTAGCTGAAGCAGGCTTGACTAATTCAAGGGTGTAGATGCGCGAGATTCCACAGTAGGGTTTTAAAGTGTGTGTTCCTAAAAACCCTTTGAAGGGCAGATGCGGTTCTGATGGCTACATTGAATGTGTCATGCAAGCTCAGCTGTAAAGCTCAGAGTGGGCTCTCATAGTAAATGCAGGAAGCTATAGGTTCTGGAAAAGCCAGCATCATGCTGGGACTGAAATTGCTTTGCAAATGTGGAAGATCGGAGGGGGGGGGGAGGGTCAAAACCAAGTCAGAGTTAGAGCGAGAGCGATAATTTTTGCTCTGAAACTGAGATCGCTCTGCAAATCATTTCCTGGCACCAATCCTCTTACCCTGTTCCCAAAAAGCGCCAAAAAGAAAAACAGATTAACTTTTTATTGTTGACTAAGTCAGTCAGAAGGGTTTTTAATCGAGCAAAGTGCTTGGGTTCCCCTGACTATGCAAGAACCCCACAGGCTACGTCGTTGAAAGAAGGTAAGTTGCAAAATTTATAAACAACTAGCTGGCTTGCCCGGCTCCGCCGGGCCTGCCAGCTAGACCCGTGTACGTATGTTCCGAATAGAATTTTTTATTTCTGAACCGATTGGGACCGAACTTTGCACATGTCACAGCCCACTTTTCGTTATCGATCGATGTCGATTTTACCGATTTTTTGCAAAATTTGAGCTAGGGGGCTAGGATTTTGCACAGGGGGGTAATCGAGCATGCTGATCACCCCCTTCGGGGTGATCAGCATGCTCGATTACCCCCCTCTGTCAAATCCCAGCCCTCTAGCTCGAATTTTGCAAAAAATCAATAAAATCGATATCGATCGATAACGAAAAGTAGCCTATGACACGCTCCCTGCCCCGAAGTATATGTGTGCCAAGTTTGGTCCCGATCGGATCAGAAATAAAAATTTCTATTCCGCACATACGTACAGACAGACAGACAGACAGACAGACATACAGACAGACAGACATTCAGCTTTATATATAAGATAAACTTTTATCTTCTGCGTCTCCACATCTCACAAGACCAGATCAAGATGGTGAGCTAACAAGGGAATGGTCAGAAGTCGAAGTGATCAAACCAAATAAGCTGTATATCATTCGATGCAGTATAAAACGCTGACTTCGAATCTGTCTTCTTTATCTGCTTCCCGCTTCTATGAACTAAGCTACAAGCGGTTTTATTATGAAAAAATCGTGCATAAAAACAGCGAAATTGAGCGCATTGTTTCACTTTTAGTTCAGCTTCTGGCTTTAAAAATTTGAAGTAAGCTAGCTGCATGTTTTCGCCCGATATTAAAGGCAGTGGGTGGAGGACATTAGGTCGCCGAGTTTGGAAGAGTCCCGCGCGGATTCCCTGCAGGAACGCATGTCCGCGTATGTACAAGGGTGCGTATTTGTCGCAAATGACCGCGGGGACCGCCCTTTTTCGGCGACCTAATGTCCTCCACCCAAAGGCAGTGTCCGGGCAAAAACTCGATTTTGAGATTTTGTGCTTACTTGGGCCTATTCGCCATGCTGAATCCGAAAATGCACATTATAGAGCGCGAAAATGGCGGAAAACTGCTCTAACACAGGAGGGAAATGAGCAGGTGGGCGGGGTCCTCCCCAATGCGAACTCACGTTCCCGGCTTCCGGAGCGACCTTCTCGCTTCCGGTTTCAAGTCAATCATTCGCACTTGGTCGATAGCGAGGTTAGAACGGCCTGCGGAATCAAGAAAATCGCTCCGGGAGCTGGGAGTGTGAAATCGCATTGGGGAAAGCCCCGCCCACCTGCTGATTTCCCTCCTGTGTTAGAGCCCTTTTTCGCCGTTTTCGCGCTTTCCAATGTGGATTTTCGGATTCAGCATGGCGAATAGGCCCGTATAAGCACAAAATCTCAAAATCGAGTTTTTGCCCGGACACTGCCTTTAAGGCGAACGTGGCTCTGTACGGCTAAATTTTCAATTTCACTCATAATCTCTTAGCAAAATAATGGTATTTAATGGCTTCTAGTTTTGTCCAGAAAAGCGATAAGCAGGTAAGGAAGACAGATTTAGAATCACCTCTTCATGCTGCATCTAATGGTATGCAGCTTCTCTGGATTGGCCACTTCGATTTCTGACCATTCCCTTGTAAGCTCGAATGATCAAAGTAGGATCCAAAGGACACATGCAATGAAAACACCAAAGTTATACCTGTGCAATTATTATAATAGCGGCAATAAAACATTCGAAAATCTGAACCTACATCCGCAGTATAATGTACTCAACCCGCTTTGGCTAAAACCCTCCCACCATTTCTGATATCGTGAGCTCAAAAGCCATCCCGCGCAGACTTCAGTCCCAACCGCTGTCTGTTAAGAGAGTTATGGCATCTCAAATATCTCACTTTTGTCAAACTTCCTGCGCTACAATACGATGTGAAAGTGGCAGCTTAGAGGCGCGTACAGGTTTTAAGAAGCAATAAACTCCTCATCACGACTGCTTTTTCCTCGCAATGTCATGCTGTGACGTATTTTGATGAAGAAGGGGTTAGCTGCTACAAGGTAGAAAAAAATTTTTGAAGCATAATATCATGTCTGGATCAAGTCCAAAGATGACATTGATTTCACTGCTACTGAAACACCACACTTGATGACTAGTAGGAAATAGTCAGAAATTAATCCATTCCAAACAAACTATACATCATCGGACTCGTTTTAAAACGTTGACTCCATATGAATGTTTATTATCTCTTAAGCGACTATCTGGACGGGATTATGAGCGTTCAAATACGAAAAATTATTCGAGTTTCAACGAGTATAATTCGTCGAAAGGCAGCCTGATGGCGCGGATTTACAGTGGCTATGGGCATTCTTATTACGAAGAGGAGGCTCGTTCACCAAAACCTGAGTAAGTGTTTTGAAACATAGTTCGTAAAAATGTGTTACAGAACACTCGACAAGTAGCACATTCAAACACCAATAACGCCGTCCAGATACTCGCATATATTTAGAATCAGAGTTTCAAGGCGAGTCCGTCGATATATAGCTTGTTTGGTAAGGATGGTTAAAGGCAGCGGCTCGGCAGGTTTGCAACTTCGGGGTTTTGGCAGATTTGGGGCTACTACAGCCCCCTGAACCACGACATGAACTCCCCTTAGCGCGAAAATGAAGAAAACCCCGTCTTTTGAAACCCCCCTTGAGACGGGCGCGGACGAGTGAGCCGTTTTTCTCTGCCGTCAGAGACGCAAAGTAAGGAGGTAGAGAGCGCTAGAACAATTCTGCCCTACGAAGCTACGAGTGACGGCGCGTTTTCTAGCGGCGAACATATTCGTCCGCACAAGATGTTATGGGAGCGAAAGGAGGAAGGGGAGCGGAGCTTGATTCGCCCCCCTGGCTTGCAGAATTCACATTTTCGGCCCGGAGTTGCTCTTTTGGTTCACTTGGAGGGCCTCCTATCCATCTATGTTAAATTCTGAGGTAGGTCTATTCTGCCGAGCCGCTGCCTTTAAGTTCTGACCATTTCCTGCTTACAAGGGAATGGTCAGAAGTCGAAGTGGCCAATCCATACAAGCTGCATACCAATCGATGCAGCATAGAATGCTGACTTCAAATGTGTCTTCCGTATCTGCAGAGCGCCTTTGTGGGCGAAGTTATGACCAGCTTTACTAAAGAAAAATCGTCCTCAAAAACTGCCAAATTAGGCAGATCACTGCTCTTTTAGCTCACCTTTAGGTACGAGCCATATGAACTGACCTAGTTACACGTTTTGGTCCAACACTGAGCCGAGAATGGCTTTGTACGGCCAAGTTTGACCTTTACACGCACAATTTCTTAGCAAAATGATGACATTTAACGGCTCATAACTTCGTACAAAAGCGCTCTGCAGATAAGGAAAACAGATCTGAAATCAGCATTCTATGCTGCATCGAAAGGTATGCAGCTTGCTTGAATTGGCCACTTCGATTTCTGACCATTTCCTTGTTAGCTTACGTTTTGTGCACAGCACTGCTTGGTAATTGTAGAAATGATGTCAATTTTCTTTGAGGTACCTACATTTGCGAAAGGTTTTGCACTTTCTAATCTGTAAATAGCATCGCGTGGTAAATCAGCTGTATCACGCCATTCCCCAATGGCGTCCTGATATCCGTGCTTTAATCCTTCTTCTTCTGTATTTATCACTCGTAACCTGAACAACCAAATACGAATATTCTACAATCTCATCTGTTGAACTAACGTCATGGAATTGATGGCCTTGTGCCAGACGTTCCCTATTTCTTTATTGACTTTGCAGTCATCTTCGTTGATAGCTATAGCTGCAAGGTTTGCATTTCCCGAATCGTAACACTGAAATTGCTTCTTATTATATACACATTTCTTACTGGAGTAGTACTTGTTCAAAAGGGCACTTTTAAAAATACAGAGCCTTTGGAGGCTACAAAGCCAGAGTTAATGCTTTTCTAGTTTTGTTCGCTAAACCAACTAGTAGCTTTTGCAATTCACAGCCTTAAATCTAATAACGCAAAGTATCAATCAAGCTCGTATAAACAAGGGATATAACTTCACCATATACCGACAACAATGCGAACTTGGTTTCTTTCAGAGTTGTCTGTCACGGGCACTGAGACAGTGCCGAAAACAAATCACTGGAGGCCCCAATGGAAGCTGATGAACACAAGGTGGAGGGACACCAGAGCCCTGACCTTCTTTTTTACCTGAACTGCTTCAAAATATCGTTCAAAAACATTTTCTTACTTTCAACAACTACAAAACCGACAAGATAAACATTTAAAGGTGATCCAAGTAGCATTCGTTGCAATTTCTTATCCTCTTTCTGATATTTATGTTATAAAGTTAAGACTCTTATGCTATCTATCCAAAGAAAGTACTAGGGTTTTTAGCTGGTCACCGCCAATACGTCGAAGTTCAACTATTTTTTTATCGTTTGATCAGATCCAGCGAAGAATCTCCAGGCAATTGGTCAATCAATTTTGAGTTTTCAAAAGTATTACTAAAAAATCAGTCTCTCAACACTATTCTAACACATCATAGCATCCAGCACCTCAAAAACTACATTTGCAACAAAAACTCAGTAACATGTATGAGAGTTTAGCAATAATCAAACAAAAAAAGTCAAACTAGAAAGGTTGTGAACTGAAGTGAAGTTAACTAGTGGTAGTTCATTGTTGAATGATAGTGAAAATAAGGTTCCATGAAATTTGAAATATGATAAAAACAACTTATTAAAAGATTCTTGTTTCATAAATCTTCATCTATCCAGTTGTAGCTTGAGCTCCTTTTGCGCTGCAGATATAACTTTCTAGAAAAAATACGAGATACCATGGCAATGACCATGATTGGTAGAATTAATTCTATAGCTCTCAAAATGAACTGCAAGGAAGCAGAATCTCTGAAGGATTACGGAGTGCTGCTTCGAACGCGATCATATCAATGCGAAAAATCTTTGTTCTGCGAACTGTGGCGCTCGTTTGAAGAAAATGAAAGTACTTTGGGAGCGATGTGATATGTTTTTCGAGCATCTTTCCGCATTTATTCCCTCTTAACCCTTATTATTTCCCTTCTTTAAAAATTGGTATCAGAGCATTTTTTGAAAAGATGAAAAAAACTCAGGTGCGAGCACATGAAATATATTTTCTCTTGCTCTCAGAATGCTGGATGTAGGATTTGCAATCACAACTGCGACGTTCGATGCAAGCAGAAAAATCGACAACTTATCATAGAAATCAACAAAATTGCTTCAAAACCTTTTCGCAAACGCAAATTTCATAATTTTAGAATCCTCTCTCATAACATAGAAATCCAAAAAAACCTGGTTGCTAGACTGGTCCTCCCCATGTATGGGTATAATTTTGTTTCGATAGAAACCAGTCGAAAGATTTTGCCACATTTTTGAGGTTAATGCAAGTGGTGAGATGGCGACAAGAGAGCTTACACGTCGAGAGCGGCGAGAGAATAATATTTTACGGGATCAAAATTTCGCTTCAAAATTCGAAAGCTGTGCTGGTGAATGAAACTCAGCTACGAAATTATGCAGTTATCGTTTCGCACATACATCTCATTACACTGTTTAGCCAAGTTTATTCTAGTTTACGTTAAGAGTAAGTGAGCATGCTGAGTACAAATATGATAAGCTGTTGCAAGTACACACCACTTTTATTGATTTTACCGATTTCCGCAGACTCTGAGTTGCCTGGTGTTGGGATCTGACTTGATATAGGGGGATAAATGAAAATGCTGATTACAAATGTAGTAACTCTGTTAGATGCTTATCTTTTTTCTGGAGTTTAAAGTTGCACACGGCAGATGATCATTTGAGGGAGTTACCTCACATTTTCGAAATTTTGAGAAATTCTACGAAATTCTTTTGAGAGCAGTGTGTTGTTACCCTAACTTTTCTTTCAAAAAAGTAGTTGAGTGTGCAAATCTGGTTTTGTTGGAGGAAAAACCTCAACGAGTGCAGGGTAGAGGAATGTTCAAGAAAACTGTCTCTTGTGTGTCGCGCAAATCTCAAGGAATTTTCCGGAAAATCCTCTTGTACGTGCAATTAAGCTACTGAAGTCTCATCTTTCCCTTGCAGACGTAATCGTATGATAGAGCCCGATTCGGCTGGAAAGTAGCTTATATGTACACCAGGGGCGATCGCAGGATTTCCGTTCGGGGAAAGGAGTGCGGCAGGAATTTTTTAAAGTGAAGGTGCGTGACATTAACCACGCACTCGAAAATTTTTTGGGGTACTTTTCAAGGTTTTTCATAATCGTTCTTACAAGAATTAACACAAAGCACTTGCAAATTTCATAACTCATTTAAGTAAATCTCAAAGATTTCGCGAACCATTCTCGGGAGGAGGGGGGGGGGGAGAAGGGGCGCCCTACCGCCTCTCCCCCTCGGTCCGCCACTGTATGTTACGTATATTACTGTTTATATAAGCTCCTGCAAGACGAAGGCGGTCGGTTCGATGTGTGACGTGGTTGTGACGCCGCTGTGACGCGACTGTGACGCAGCTCTGTCGCAGCCGCGTTGCACATCGAACCGACCGCCTTCGTCTTGCAGGAGCTTATATTACTATTCATCTCCACAAACGCAGTGCACACTTTTCGAAGCTTTCAAAGATTTGATATTAGGGAAACCTACCAATCTAAACATAGATCTTGATCCTATTTTGTTATATTCAGCAGTCTCCCCTTCCTCTTCTCCCTTTCCTTCCATTTCGGGATATGCAAAGCTTCGTCGCGCAACACCTTGTCGTATGTCATTGTGCAGTCTCACAGCGCCGTAAGTATCGTCATTTTTTTCCGGACATTCTGCTGGAATGTGCATTATTTTAAAGTAGCTCGGTAAATTTGTTATCTTCAAGTTCCTACTGGTTGAGCTGGACGCTGGTCGAGTTGCTGTTGAAGTGCTTAAAGGTTTAGTTGTGAAGCTAGTTGCAGCAGTGGTGGTTTCTGAATTACGTGGTCCTTTTTATTTAAAAGTGATTTGATTTACAAGTTATTACCTACTGAATCCTCCACTGCAAGGCAAAGTCCAAATGTAGGGCTTCCCTCCTCAGTGTCACACTGAGACTTCCGCACTACGGCCTTGCAGGTTTTGTGATCGGTACAACCTTTCGTTGTGCTATCTCCAATATATAGAGGTTCGTTGAGTTGCGGTCTGAAACTTTAAAAAACTAGTTTCCGGAGCTGCCAGTAACTTCAAAGAATACCCACATTTCGCCGTACACACAAGCAATGGCAATCTTATTTTCAGAATTTTTACATATTTTGTGCGCACACCCCATTTTTAGGTTTTTGTAGTAGACCATCTGAAATATGGCAGCTTACGGAGAAAACTGAGTAAAACAACCAAACATGAGCAGAGGAGGGCTATTTAGAAGGCATTGTTGGGTCTTCATCTCCTGTAGCATGGAATCTAACCGTAAGAAAAATGTGGAACGGGGAATATAAAAGAGGGGGGGGGGGGTCAAAACCTAGGCTAGGTTAGAGCAAGGGACGATACTTTTTGCTCTAAAACTGAAATCTCCCTGTAAATCATTTCCTAAGACTAATCCTCTTTCCCTTTTCTCAAAAGGCGCCAAAAAGAAACGAAGTCATCTCTTCATTGTTGATTAAGTCAATCAATACATTTTTTATTGAGCAAAATATTAGGTTTCTCTGTCCATAGAAGAACCCATATGCTACGTCATTGTTGAGGAAAGTAAGTTGCAAGATCCAAACAAAGCATTTTTATCTTCTGCGTCTCCACATCACGAGGCCAGATCAACGTTATGCGCAGGAGCGGATGATCACATTAGGTTCTGTAAGATTTACGTAAAGTAACAACAGTAATACAGATTCGAGGATCAGAATCCGCGCAAAATCAGAATCTATATTACTGTTGTTACTTTACGTAAATCTTACAGAACCTAATGTGATCATCCAGTCCTGCGCATAACCGGATGATCACATTAGGTTCTGTAAGATTTACGTAAAGTAACAACAGTAATACAGATTCGAGGATCAGAATCCGCGCAACAGTATAATGTGCTCAACTGCTCAACCCGCTTTGGTTAAAACCCTCCCGCCCCCTTCCCCCCCCCCCCCCCCCCCCCACTTCTACCGTGAGCTCAAAAATCATCCCGAGCAGAGCTCAGTCCCAAACGCTCATTTGCTGATGGACTCATGGCTCTTCACATATCTCATTTTGTCAGACTTCCTGCGCTACAATATGGTCCAGGAGTCGGCACGAGGTGGCTAGATGAAAATGGAAAAAACGAAGTCCCCCTTGACTTTTGGGAATTTTTACGAAGTTCCCTTTGACCCTCAACCATCCTCTAAAAACCTGAAAAATTCCCAAAATCCCTCAAAAAACGAAACGTCGACTAAAAAAACGTCGCCAAGTCGCCAATTTTGCGTCTCTCTTCGGTCACAAAAACGAAACCCCCTTTGCTTTTCGTCCCAAAAACTATATCCAGCTTGCTTGTAAGCCACCTGTGCCGAGCCCTGATTGGTCGTGTGTAGTGAAACCTTAGTGCGCGTAGGTTTTGAAAAGTGAAAACCTCCTCATCACCAACTGATTTTTCCTTGCAATGCCACGCTGTGACGTATTTCAAATAAGGATTGGTTAGCTGCTACAAGGTGAAAAAAATTTGTGAAGCATAGTATCACGTCTGAATCAAGTCCAAGGATGACATTGATCTCGCTGCTATTAAAACATCACACTTGGTGACGAGAGCTTTAGCTTAGTTTATGTTGCCTTGTGCACATTACCGTTCGATAATTTTAGGAATAATTCAGTTTTTTTTTGCAGTACCTACATTTGCAAAAGGTTGTGCACTTTTTAATTTGAAAGTAGCATCGCTAAGTGGTAAATCAGCTGTGTCAAGCCATTTCTCAATTGCGTCATGATATCCGTACTTCAGTCCTCCTTCTTCTGTATTTATCACTCGTAACCTAAACAACCAAATACGAATATTCTGCAGTCTCATCTGTTGAACTAACGTCATTGAATTGATGGCCTTGTGCCAAACGTTCCCTAGTTCTTCATTGACTTTACAGTCATCTTCGTTAATAGCTGCAGCTGCTAAATTTGCATTTTGCGAATCGTAGCACTGAAATTGCTTTTTATTAGATTTGTGTTGCTTATTTAGAGTAGTTTTTGTTCGAAGGAAATTAAAAAATTCAGATTCTGCAGGGTACAAAGCCAGAGTTCAAGCTTTTCTAGCTTTACTCAGTAAGCCGGCATGTGGCTTTTGCTGTCAACACTCACAATCACCTTATAAAGCTGAATGTCTGTTTGTCTATCTGTATGTCTGTACGCATGTTCGGAATAGAAAGTTCTATTTCTGAACCGATCCGGACTTGGCGCACATACACTCGGGGCAGGGTCGGTGTCGTAGGCTACTTTTCGCTATTGATCGACACGATTTTATCGATTTCTGGCGATTTTTGTAAAGCTTAACCCGCGGGCTGGAGTTGGCACAGAGAGTTGGCACAGGGGGGGAGGGGGGGGGGGGGGGGGAGTAAGTGAGCGTGCCGATTACTAACACAGCGGGATTATGGACTTGGCAGTGGGCACGGCTAAAAGGTTGTACAGGGATGGGATCTTTATTAAAGTGTGTTTACGGACCGAACGGAACCGGGTAAGGTAACTAATTAATTATTAGGGTGATCGGTAAAAAATGGGGCAGCTTGATTTTTATCAGATTTTGAGATTTTTTGTTCACACCAACAATAAGCAGGCTGCAATCCAAACGTCGCTTACATAAACCGACCTTCGCCTATTATTTTGGTAGCGCGTTACCGCTCCTCTCCCATAACCGTACGCGTGGCGCCATGAAAAACTCAAACAGCGTTTTTTGAACATTTCTCAATCTTGCGCTCCTTACAGTAAGGTCGTAAAGCAAATGACAATCATTTGAAAGAGCATATGCTCTTTCATGAATTGTTAAGCACATGAAATTTGATTGAATCAAAGGAAAAAAAGCGAAAAACCCTGAAAAATAGCTATTTTTAGCGCAATAAGAAACCAAAAAATCATGTTTCGCCCTATATTTTCCGAAGATAGATAAGATATGAGATAAGCTGCGAATGGATGGATAGAGCGTAAAAAGCTCTTTCACATGGTACCTATAGAACATGCGTTCACCCGCAAAGAATTTAATAACACGTATCTTTGTTCTCAAAGTTGGCAATGGCCATAACTCCTTCTCTGACAAGGGAAGTTCACTTAGTCGAAATGGCGATTTGGAAGGAGATCTAAATCAGTAGATAGAGCTTAAAAAGATGATCACAGATATACTTCCTATATCTGCAATGCATCGTTCTGAAAAAAGTTATGAGCTTTTCTAAAGCCAAATTTTCGTGCATTTTGAGTCGCAAAATCATGATAATAATTACACAAAAGTGTGCAAGCTCAAGCAAACCACCTAATAAGCATTGTAGGTCTAATTCGAGTTCATCCGAACGCTAGCGAATGTTTTTCGACCATGTTGTTCATCCACAGGTCGTCATTTCATTCCTAGATCATATTATGTTGACGCAAAAAGCTCTTTCGCACCAAATTCAAAAATTCATAACTTGTTGAATTCTCAACAAATTTTCAAGATCTAAACTTTGTGTAAGAGAGAAACTCATGCTCTTTGCAAATGTGCTTAAACTGTTCGTTAATGTGTACAAATGAAGGAGACAGAAGCTCAAAACCAAAATCACTCAAAATTTGAATTTCTCGTGTATCATATCGGAAACTTGCAATAAAAATCGGAGCAGTCGGTATTGTAAGTTCTTTCACAAGCTCTCAACAATGCCAAGTTTGCGCCAATTGAGCGTCTCTGTGGAAAGTAATGAATACCCTGAAAAATGCCAAAATAAATCAAACTCGCCCTTTTGTATTGCTTGCTCGAAAATCATAACTTTTCACAATGACGCTCAATCGGCGCAAACTTTGCACCGTTAGAAAGAGCTGGTGAAATAACCTACAATTCCGACTGCTCCGATTTTTGTTGCAAGTTTCCGATTTTTTATGATCCCACACGAAAAATTCAAATTTTGAGTGATTTTGGTTTCGAGCTTCTGACTCTTTCATTTGTAAAAATTAACGAACAACTCAGGTACAGTTGCGAAGAGAATGAGCTCCCCTCTTAAGCATGATTAGATCTTGCAGATTCATCGAGAATTCAACAAATTATGAATTTTTGAATTTGGTGCGAAAGAACTTTTGCATCAACCTAATACTTCCATTATGTATACAAAAAAACACCATAACCTCCATCTAAAAAACGCGTCGCGTAGGAAGCTTTTTGGAAACTACCAATGGATAGAATGTAGAACGATGTTTTCAAATATATCTTCAATATCTGCGACACGATCTTCTAGTTGGAGGTTATGGGCTTTTTTGTATATATAATGGAATTGTGATCTAGGAAGGAAATGACGGCCTGTGAATAAATCTCATGGACGGGAAACACTCGAATACGTTCGGATAAACTCGAATTTGACCTACAATTCTTACTAGGTGGTTTTCTTAAGCTTGCGCACTGTGTAACGATTATCATGATTTTGCGACTCAAAATGCACGAAAATTTGGCTCTAGAAAAGCTCATAACTTTTTTCAGAACAATGCATCGCAGATATAGAAGGTATATCTGTGATCACCTTTTTAAGCTCTGTCCACTGATATAGATCTCCTTCCGAATCGCCACTTCGACTAAGTGAACTTCCCTTGGAGAGTTGAGGTCACCAAGCCGTCATGGATTTGGTGACTATCCCACAACCGATTCCAGCATTGACAATTTGGGTAGTCTCACATGTTTCACTGCGCAGAAACTGGAGGCGTGCAAGTGGTACCCGGGCAGCCGACTGCTTTCGCAGCCAGCCGCCAGAACTGCCGGCAAAGTCGCTGCAGATCGTACAGTAATTACTCGTCGTCTAAAACTCTTGCCGAGAGCTTTTCTCGCACCTAGTCGCTCTCAGGTGCAAAATCAGCCTCAGGGAAGCATGATGTCCTCGATATCTATATCATTTTGAACAGCAAAAATTTCATGTTTTTGAGGAACATGCAGATAAACAAAGGTAAATAGAGGAGGGTTTTTCTAGAGGAAAGTGGTCACAAAATCAAATCACTTCAAAGACTCAAAGGAAGCAGAAGCTAAAGAAAATTAGGAATTCTCAAACTTCTAGAGATTTTTTCTCGCTTTCACGTCAAAGGATGGACGAGAACAATTACAAATGTCACGGATATGCGGTACAAAAACACAATATCTACATCATTTTGAACAGCAGAGAAAAGCCATATTCATTGAGAACCAGACAGTCGAATACAAAACTACACCGAAAAATTTCCAAAAATTCACAAACATTTACAAAAATGAATGAATAGGACTTCAAATTTTTTCTGTTACAAATCTTAAAATTAAAGTACAATGAATATCGCTGTAGTTTTAAGGATCCTTGATTTTCCAATGAAGAATTCTTAGAAATCAAATTCGCTTTTCCATTAACACTTCAGAATTCGAAATGCGGTCTTGTTGAAGGGTTATCAGAGGTGGTTCTTTCAATTTTGAACTCTCATTATTTGCAATGAGTTCTGGATTCCAAATTTTTTTTCATTATTACTTTTTTATTTTCTCAAAATACCTAGATAAGTGGACTGTATAGATTGAAATAGTACATGCTTCTTGGTGATGTTCCCTTTTATACCAGCGGATGTGGCATATTTTCATCTTTTATCATTGACCTAATCAATTTGATTGACCTGTTTGCCTTATTTAGCTCGCTTAACACCACTATGTACAAAATAATCATTTTGACAGAGTTTTCTTACCTTCATATCAATGACATTTTCCCATAATTGTCCCATTCCGTTCTTCGACGTAAAAGCGGGAAAAAAATCTCTAGGAATTTGAGAAATTTCTGAACTTTTCAGCTTCTGCTACCTTTAGGTTTTTAAAGTGATTTGAATTATTTTCCTTTAAAAAGCCTCTTCCCTGTTTATCTTTGTTTATTTGCATGTTTCTCAAAAAACATGAAATTTTTGCTGTTCAAAATGATATAGATATTGAGGATATCACGCTTCCCTGAGGCTGATTTTGCATCTGAGAGCGACGAGGCGCGAGAAATCCTTTCGGCAAAGTTTCGGACGACGAGCGTAGTTACTGTACCACCTGCAGCGGCTTTGCCGGCAGCTCTGGCGGCTGGCTGCGGCAGCAGTCGGCTGCCTGGTACCACTTGCTACGCACCCCGCAGAAACTGCTCGAAGTTCATGATTTGTCGAAGTGATTAGCTTTGCATTTCAGTAAGAATAAAAATTATTAAGATTGTAAATGACCTTATATGAGTAATATCTAAAAGAGAATAACATATTCTAACATCTAGCAAAATTGGAAAGTCTAATCACTTTGCCTTCTTGAGAAACCTCTAGTTATTTCGTAAATGCCCCATTTTTTACCGTTCGCCCTACTATACAGGGTGTCCCAAAAGTAAGTACACACTTTTCAATCATTAATATCTCTCTTCCAAATGTGTCTTTTTCCACCATTTAAGTACCATTCTGTAGAGAAGGCTTCAACTTAAATTTGGAGTATCGAGCGAATCACCGATCCCTCTTCGTTACTGTAGGATTACTATAAGAGCCTCGACAAAAATTTTAGATCATTGAAAGCCATATTCTGCTTCGGAACAAAACCAATAAGCCAAAAAACTCATATACTATGGTAATGGAAGCCGCTGATTTCGAATATAAAGTTTCTACTTTACTATGATGCTTATTTCCAAAGCTATCCCAGGTAAACCATTATAACTGAATTTTCAGTATTTGTCAGAAGTGTGACTTTCCTGTCAAAAAGCTGAAAACAGTTGTGAAAAATTCTCAAGTAGATCAGGGTGCGAGAAAACCCTAGTAAGACGAATTTTCAGATTTTTTGAAAATTTTTTGTCAGATGGCATATTTCACAGAAGTTTCACATGCTGAAAGTTCTTACCATAATCCTACAGTAACGAAGAGCGATCGGTGATTCGCTCGATACTGTAAATCTAAGCTGAGGTCTCCTCTACAGAATGGTACTTGAATGGCAAAAAAAAAGACCTATTGGGAAGAGGGATATTGACGATTGAAAAGTGTGTGCTTACTTTTGGGACACCCTGTATTTGTAAGTATGTAGGCAAAGACGGTAATGTGACAGTGTTTCGTGAGGAAGAAATTGCAGAAAATGACAAAATCACTCAATACCAGATGGGACGTTAGTAGCAACGAAGCGGCATGACGCGTACTGAATTTCCGTATACATGAAAGATACCCTCATCGTCCGTCTAGCCGCCCGTTTCAAGAATGGTTAACACATTTACAAGGAAGAGTTGCAAGTCCTCCTCATAGCACATTAACTGGGTTCTTTGCGTCAAGTGGACTCATTTGCGAATACTTCTCACATCCTGAAGCCGCGAAGTACTTCACATGGGAAAACAGAACAATAAAGTTCTGGGCAAGAAAACAAGGAAGGTCAGCTTCTAGGCATGGTGGGATTCGCGCATCAAACGTCATAGCTAGGGGTGGGGGTCTACACAGTTAATCCTAGAAATGGTGGATGTTTCCATCTAAGAATGCTTCTTCACAACTGTCGCGAACCTGTATTATTCGCGGCATCAAAGATTTGTCAATGGGGAAAAGTGCCAAACGTTCAAAAAAGCCCGTTAAAGACCAACTTGTTCGAGAACGACACTGATGTCTGACCATGTCATCACTCACATGTTCCGCCGAGCGGATACGCAGTGGTCTTGCTGTCAATTTAACTTGCTTTCCATCAAATCCATGAACTTTTCGGAAAAGGTATGAAGAACATTTTAGTGAGGATATACTTACTTGTTGTTGAGTTATTGACTTATGTGAGTTATTTGATTAGGTTTGCAATCTTCTTCAGAAATGTTCAATCAAACCCGATCCAGATCGAAGCCAGTTGTATGTCATTCACAGGTCAGACTTTATCCGAGCTTGGCTTAAGTCTCAATCTTTGATGTGACTAGGCATTAGACGATGATGCGTTGACGGAAAGAAAATATGATGTAAACTTTCTTACAAGGGAACGGTACTTGGTGTCCGTGGCCTTTTGAGATAAGATGCATACCATTACACTCGTCTTGGAGGGCTGATTCCGAATCTGGCTTCCGTTTTTGCTAATCGTCTCTCGGAAAAAAGTTATGAAGGATTTTCGCGCCAAAGTAGATGTGGTCGAAATGCCAAAACCGCCGCTAAGATGTGGTGTACTGGCTAGTGGAATAGCCTCGCAAGTTAATGCAGGTTTAGGTTCTAGTCCTTTTGTGTTTTTAGGTTTTGCATTGCCTCAATCAAGCTTCCATTCAAAAATTAGGCATCTCTGACCGTATTTCCTTTAGGCGACCATTGACGCAAAATCCCTTATAACTTCTTCTAGAGAAACGATAGCAGAAACGGAAGTCAGGTTCGAAATCAGCGTCCCAAGAGCTCAAACTTTGGAAAGAATCGATAAATAGATAAAAACCGTGGCGTACTTAGGGGTGGGGATGGGAGCTCCCCCCCCCCTCCCGAAAATGATTCGCGAGATTTTTAGAAGTTATTTATATGAATCACATGCAAGCAAATTTGTTTATACTTGTAAATAATAAATATATTTTTTGAAAATTTTTAAAAACTCAATTCAGACTTATAAATGGCTGCCGCTGCCCCCCCCCTTTTTCATGAATTTCGGATTTATGGGCCCGCCTAAATTTCAGAAAGCATATCAAAAATCCTTCGCAGTGCGTGGCTGATGTCACCTACCATCCGGAAAGAAATTCTTTTCGCTTGTCCCCCCCCCCCCCTCCCCCCTCCCCTCCCCAAGAGGAAATTTTGGCTCCGCCACATGAAAATGTGATTGGTGACACTAACTGATATTGTATTCGTAATCAGCATGTGACGAGGGGGTAGTAGCATGATTTGCCGCTGTGACCAGATCGGAATCGGTTTCGATCCCCCTGAGCCAACCAAATTTCCTCCAGGCCTAAATGGTACAACAGTAATCTGGGAGGACAAATGCGCTGACTTGTTAATCGGTTGTCTCCGCAAGTCATTGTAATAGTCTCGAACGCATATAGCCTCTTCGACAATGAAGTAGAATGCGTTCGGCGCATGCACGCAAAAGGTGTTGAAGAAGCCTTATACCTTTTACAAAATGCATGCTTACCTACCCCCTGAGCCAACCCCCAACCCCTGTGACTTAAAGATTGCAAATGCCGATGAAATCGATAAAAATAATCAATAAGTCTGAAAACCAGTACTTTATTTCCTAAACAGTATGGTCACTTACCCTCTCCCCTATGTCAGCTCACAACCCCATAGCTCAAAGTGCGCGAAAATCGATAAAATTAATATGTTCGATAAAAGGAAGTAACCTACCACCCGATAGCCTCGAAGTGTATGCGTAGTTTGGTCCAAATCGGTTTAGAAATGGAATTTTCAATACGAATGCGTACACATATGGACAAGCAGACATTCAGCTCTATATCCCAAAAAAGGGTGTCCCAAAAATATGTACACTTCAGTATTTCATGGTGCGGTACAGATTGGTATAGATGATATTTTTATTGCCTGACGTCTTCAGAAGCGTCAGGCTGAAAGTCCAAAGAATATATCACCTACGCCAACCTTACGACACAATAAAATTCTAAAGTACTACATAATCAAGAAGATGCCCAGGTTCAAGACAGGAGGATTACAGTGTTGTCACGAATGTGCACTCTGCTTGATCGTCAATGACTCTCTTGTTTTGATGTCTTGCGATCTTATGGTGCCGCTGTTTAGAGCGAGGTTCAGCTAGATTTACAGTATACAGAAAGTCAGCGATTGCTCTTCGTTATCGTGGGATTAAATAAGAACTTTCAATACATAGAACCATTGTGAAAAAGGCCGTCTGAAGAAATCTTTTTCAAAAAATATGGAAAAGTGTAGAAGAGTTTTCGCACTTGGTATTTCACTATACAACGTTTAAGGACAATTGAGTTTCAATGGTTGTAAACACACTCTTGACGTACATCGGAAAAAAACTTGTCACGATGTATTTGAAATACCTTATGCAATATGCAGTAGTAAAGTGCATGTTTCATATTTGAACTCAGCGACCTTGATTAGCCCGGTATAAGAGTTTAGCTTGCTCGGTTTTTTTGAAGACACATATCGCTCTCTATGCTCTAAAATCCTTTGTATATTTTTTACTGTAACCCTACAGTAATGAAGAGCGATCCTTGATTTACTCTACACAGGGCCCGGCAGAGATGGTCTGGGATTATATTATAACAATACAGGGTGTCCCAAAAGTAAGTACACACTTTCAATCGTCAATATCTTTCTTCACATTGTCTCTTCTTCCGCCATTTGAACACCATTCTGTAGAGGAGGCTTTAACTTAGATTTGCAGTATCGAGCGAATCATCGATCGCTCTTCGTTACTGTAGGGTTACGGTGGGAACTTCGACAAGGATTTTTAGGCCATTGGAGGCCATGTCTGCCTCGAAACAAAACCAAACAAGACGTAAAATCTTATACTATGGTAATCGAAGCCGCCGATTTCGATTATGAAACTTCTAGTTTACTGTGATGCTTCTTTCCCAAGTTATCCCAGGTGAACCGTAATACCTGAATCCCCAATTTTGTCAGAAATGTGATTACACCGTCAAAAAAGCTGAACACAGTCGTAAAAAGTTGTGTATTGGAATCAGCGTGTGCGAAAACTCCAATAGACGATTTTTCGGATTTTTTGAAAAAAATTTCGTCAGATGGCATATTTCACAGTGGTTCCACATGCTGGAAGTTCTTACCGTAATCCTACAGTAACGAAGAGCGATCGGTGATTCGTTCAATATTGTAGATCTAAGTTAAAGCCTCCTCTACAGAATGACACTTGAATCACAAAAAAAGACCCATTAGGACGAGAGATATTCACGATTGAAAAGTGTGTACTTACTTTTGGGACACCCTGTATATGATGTATTATATAGAATATATAATATAATATTCTGACGAATATCAGAAATCGAGGTTTGTATATCTGGCATAACCTGTGAAAAAACGTTATGGTAAAGTGCGAGTATCATCGTCAAAATGAGCGAAAGCTCTCCATAAAACTCCCACCGTAATCTTACCGTAATGAAGAGAGAACAGCATTTCACGTCATACTGTAAGTCTAAGTCAAACACAACCCTACAAAATGGTACCCAAGCACCTCGGAAGACTTCTTGACAAGAAAGCTGTTCACAATAAAACAGTAGGCACATTTTTTGGGACATCCTGTATTGCCATTTTTTACCCTTACGAATGCTGTGCACACTTCTCGAAACATTTTTCATTTTTCGCTTGCAAGATTAAGCTTTATATTGAAAGAAACCTACCAATCTGAAAACACTGCCTGATCCTACTTTGTTATATTTAACAGTCTCTTGCTCGTTTCTCTCCCCTCCCGGTTCGGTCCATGCAAATCCTTGTCGGGAGACAATTTGTCGAATGACGTTGTGCAAAAACACAGCCCCATAAATATCTTCATCTTTCTCTGGGCAGTCCGCTGAAATACGCAATTCAAAGAAGTTCAATGTTATCTTCGCCATCTGAAAATCCAACTATTGATCGCATATAATCGAGCGTGAATTTGCGACGAACAGCCAGACAGCAGTAGGAGCCACTGAACATCTTTTGTGATACGCATATTGAAAGCTGGCACTTACCCAAAGTAAACTCTTATCAAAGTCAGCATAATCTCTCGTACGTCTTGCAGTATCTTGTTCATCTTTTCTAGTGTTTCTCATGTTCGCGATCTACGAAAACACTAAAAGTTGATGTTGCATGTGTGCACGTCAATACAGTCGCATATCACACAGAAAAGAAAAACGCATCATTTTTGATTTTTTTTCGAAAAAAAGGAAATGGATCAGAGACTCTCTCTTTAGGATTTCTCACTAATCTTACGCTAACTCAAGTAGAATGAGCTCGGTCACCGTAAATTTGTTGATCTTGCAAAATCTATGCAAGTCCAATCCATAATTAATCTATAAAATTCCGGAGATGGAAAATTCAATCAAATTAGCCTATAAGTTCTTGTGCAAAATAGCATATGTGTCATCTTTTCAACTCTATCTTATTAAACTTTTTTGGTCTGTAACTCAATTATGAGCAGCATTGGCAGTTTACGAAACCTGATTTGATAGAGTTTGCACAGTGTATCTTTCACGCGGAATTTTGCAAGCAATTCTTCTGCCTATTTGACTGTACAGTTACATATTGGTAAGCTTGAATTTCATGCATTCACGAGGACTATTTCAGCTGCAGTGCGTGCCTTGAGAGAAAGACTCTTCTCCTCTTTAGTTGTGGTTTGAATCCCAGAAACATGTATGCGATACCACTGGATAAAAGCAAGCTCTACAAAATGGCTTCACTGCTTGCACCAAACTGAATCTACTTGAAGCTTGAAGATGGAGTCTAAAAATGAAATGACCAAAAAAGAAGAAAATTCTTATCTTCGTTCTAAACACCTACGGATTCCCAACTTGCTCACGGGCATACATTCCTCATCAAACATTGATATGCGCAGTTGCTGCAATTTTTCCTTGGCTAGACATCGAAAAATCAACAATTTTCATACTTCTGCCAAAGTGACGCTGGACTGTTCCCGCGTAGGTAATTCTAGACTACATAGCTTAGAAAGATTTTCCTTTTACAAGAGTTGGGTCTCGATAAATATCAAGTTTAGCTTCTCTTTGCTCTGTTCTTCAGATGTATTAGATTGTCAAGAAAATAATGTCGGTTTTTATTTGCTTGCTTTAACAAAGCAACCAGACTCAACCCAACAAAGGGTAAGGAATACTGTTCGATAGCGCAAAGCAAGCTCTACAAGGTGGCACTCATATCTTTGCGCCATGCTCGATCCACGGAGAGTTCGAACTCAAAATCTAGAGATTTCCAAATGCCCAAAAAATCGAAAAAATCAGATCTTCGTCAAAATAATTTCTACGGACCTCCCACTCGCTCACATCAATACTATCAATATCTGATATCCATATGTGCGATTGCCGTATTTTTTCCTTGACTAGAAACTGAAAAAAACGAAAATTTCTCTGATTTTCTCAAAGCAATGCTGAGCCGTTTTTGCATGTGTAGTTCTATACTACAAGCCTAGTTAAGTATAACTGTAGATTTTCAGCCCATTCCAAGCGGTAGTTTTCGAAAAATAACGAATTCGGATTTTTTCGTTTCAGTTTCAATGCTAAAATCGACATTTCCCGAAAAGTACCGCTCGAAATAGGCTGAAAACCTACAGTTATGCTTACCTGGGCTTGTATTAGGTTGTAAAGAAAGTTCCCGGGCACTTTTGAAAAATTCATTTTCAAACGCATTTTTTCGGTTCTCGGTCGGACTTTGACACAAGTTTTGTATACTGTTTAGTAGAGGGAAGCCTGAAGTTTTCAATACGGCTTCCAATTCTTATCGATGCCAAGACATGTATAATCTGCACATCAAGAAGTTGAATCTTTACAACCATAATTTCACAATTCTTCTTCCTACGGCCATTTTTTTGTGCAGTTCAAAGTATTTTGTCTAAATCATGGATGATCTTATTAAGAAGCCTGTTGGCTTCTGACCTGCAGCTGCTTCGAGTTCTGCGATTTGCGCTCAAAAATTACAAGCTGTCGAACTTGCCTTTGACTAAAACTCCTTTCGCAGCCGGCGTCGCTTGTGCGGGGCGCCAGGTGTGGATGTCGGGTCCAAAAGATAAGTGAGCCATTACCTCAGCAATTTTCGTAGCAATCAAAGATTTGGTCCAACCGAACGACAAGACTTTAAAGTCACTTGCTCGAAAAATGGTGCATTTTTAGGGGCAAAAAATGGTCGATTTTTCAAACTTTCTGGAAAAACATTTTTTGCAGGTGGTCCTTCAAGAATTTGAATGGTCTCCATAACAGCTCCAGCAGAATTCTATTTAACTACAGCATTTGAGCTTTCCAGCCTTCATCTTGCCTGAGATGATCCTGCACAAAATGGTCACTTTCGCGTCGACCTTTTTCCTTTCTGCGCATGTTGGTGGACCGCAGTAAGGTGCTGAAAAGCCAGCAAGACAAATATATGTTGCGGACAAAATTGTCTTTGCAATGCAGTTTGTAGTTTGAAAAAAGATTCAATCTGCTTGAAGTTACAGCGATTTGAAAAAAATTTTCGCAATTGCCCGGGAACTTTCTTTACAACCTAATAGTATAGAACTACATATGCAAAAACGGCTCAGCATTGCTTTGAGGAAATCAGGGAAATTTTCGTTTTTTCAGTTTCTAGTCAAGGAAAATATACGGCAATTACACATATGGATATCAGATATTGATAGTATTGATGTGAGCGAGTGGGAGGTCCGTAGAAATTTTTGACGAAGATCTGATTTTTTCGATTTTTTGGGCATTTGGAAATCTTTAGATTTTGAGTTCGAACTCTCCGTGGATCGAGCATGGCGCAAAGATATGAGTGCCATCTTGTAGAGCTTGCTTTGCTCTATCGAACAGTACCCCTTACCCTTTGTTGGGTTGAGTCTGGTTGCTTTGTTAAAGCAAACAAATAAAAACCGACATTATTTTCTTGACAACCTAATATAAAGCCAAAAATCTACGGTTGCATTTCGCGAGCTAAGTATACAGCCCCGCATTGCTTCGGTAAAAGTATGAAATTTTCAATTTTTTGATGTCTGTCTAGCCAGGAAAAAATTGCCGCAATTCCGCCTGTGAATGTGTGATGAGGGATGTACAGGGCTTATCAAACGCAGTGTCGCTTGCATCAGCATCTCCGCTACCGCGCTAGACTCTGCGTCTCTTCCGCGAACATGCTCTTTAATCGATTGAGGCTCCCTTTCCCACGCTCGCCCTGGGAAAGTGTTCAGAGAGCATGTTCGCGGAAGAAATGCAGAGTTCAGCGCAAGAGTGGAGATGCTGATGCAGCGCCACTGCGTTTGATGAGCCCTGTTATGTCTGTTGACAAGTCGGGTCGTAGAAATTTTTTGGTCAGAGATACGAATTTTTAAAAATTTTATCGGTCGTTGGAAATTTTTTATATTCCATCTTCAACTCAGGTGCAAGCAGCTTGTACAAAAGCAATAAGCATTTTTTGGAGCTTACTTTGCTTTATCGAATGATATCCCATAAACGATTTTGGGATTTGAACTGTTGCGATGTCATGCCAAGGAAATAAAAAGCAATATTCTTTTCTTTCCAAACTGATATATTAGGTGGTTCCAGGATTTCCGTTTTTTCTATCATAAAAACACGTGGAACAAAGACAGAGAATTGTTCAAAGACTTCCCGATGCAGCTTTTCTTTCTCTTTCTAGCAGTTACTCTCCCATGCTGGTTACTCCTGCACTGAGATAAACGCCGAAATTGCGAACCCCATAACCCATTTTACATTATCCAAACCTGGCAAATTCTCAGAATCTTCATTTAGAACCTTTAGAAAAGCTTCGATAGCGTTACCATAGCGTAAACAAGCTGCAATGCAATGCAACTTTTTGGCATATCTAGCTGCCTTCTCAGCATTTTATTAAGATAAATTTTCCCAAAGTCTTTACTTTTGCGAAATGCAAAATACAGAAGAGCCTCAAACACTAACAAATCTTCAGAATTTGAAGCTTTAAAAAATTGATAATGATTATACACTAGATTTACAAAGCAATAGATGGTTTACCGCTTCGAAATATCAATTCTCACATTTTACGGGTACAGCAGGGGGCAGGTTCAAAATCACAAATCATGATAACTTCATCGCCTAAGACCACGAATTGGTAAGAAAAATGCCTGTCAGAAGAGGAGAAAAAGCCGAATGACACCTTAGTTGTGCGTCGTTTGATGTACTATGAGTTTTAAGATGACCAAAAGTAGAATTTGATAGCATTAGGATTTTAAATTTTGAGAAGAAAGTTATAGATGCCAAAAAATTGCATTGCATTGCACTTTGTTTACACTATCTAACAAATATCGAAGCTTTGCCAAAATTCCAATACGAAGGTTTTGAAAAAATCCAAAAACTGGGCAAGTTGAAAGCCATAGGTTCTTATTTCCAGCGATTATTTTAGTGGTCGCAAGCCACAACCAGCGTAGTAACGTGACTGCTGAAAGGAGGTGGAAAACTGCGTCGGATGATGTTTAAAGCATTTTTCTGCCTTTATCCCATGATAATTCATGGCAGGTTCAAGAAACGGAAAAAACTTTCGGAACCATCTAATATTTATCTTTCTGATTCACAAGCACCGTTCATCCAAAGCTGATGATAGTGAAGTTTTATGCCACAGTACGGTCACTAGTTAGGTGATTGAAATAATACCGTAGAGAGATACGACGTTATAAAGATAGATGCTGCACTATCGATTCCTCTCATCAACATGGGTGGTATGGTACGAAGGCGCTGAGATTGAAACTAGGCTTCGGAGTACACGGTGTCGGATATAACCTTTAAGACCGGCGATTTTCGAACATCTCTAACAAGGGAAGTTCCATTATTCGAAGTGGCGATTCGGAAGGAGGTTTATACCAGTGGATAGAGCTCAAAAAGCTGATCTTAGATATACCTTCTATATCTGCGATGCGTCCTTCCAAAAAAAGTTATGAGCTTTTCTAAAGTCAAATTTTCGTGCATTTTGAGTCGCAAAATTATGATAATCGCTATACAAAAGTGTGCAAGCTTAAGCAAACCACCCAGCAAGCATTGTAGGTCTCATTCGAGTTCATCCAAACGCTCTCAAGTGTTTTTCGACCATTGTTCATCCACAGGTCTCCATTTCATTCCTAGATCACACTTCC